CAAGTCACACAGCTAGAAGGGGCTGAGTCGGATTTGACCCCAGGGGAGCTGGCCACTGTCCTCCTCGCTGGACCGTGCAAGCCCAAGGTGCTCTTATCTACATGGCAATGGGCACTGGCTTGAGAGTCAGTCCCTTTGCCACTCCCAGTCAAGCGGCCCAGCCAGGCCCCTTCAGGAGCTCAGCTTCCTCTCCTAAAAAGTGGGTCTGGAGCCATTGTACAGCAGGGAGGGCATTTTCCTTGCACATGGCCAGACCTGAGTTCAATTCCTCCGCCCCTCTCGGAGAGCCCGGCAAGCTACCGAGAGTATCTCGCCCGCACGGCAGAGCCTGGCAAGCTCTCCGTGATGTATTCAATATGCCAAACACAGTAACAACAAGCCTCACAAAGGAGATGTTACTGGGCCCGCTCAAGCAAATCGATGAACAACGGGAGGACCGTGGACCGTGGATGGCCAGACCCAGGTTTGATCCCCGGCATCCGGAAGGGTCCTGCGAACATGGCCAGGAGTTATTCCTGAGTGCGGAGCTAGGAGAAACCCCTGAGCATCAATGCGCGTAGCCCAAAATCAATTTTTAAAAAATTGGTAGCATGGGCTGGAGCGATAGCACAGCGAGTAGGGTGTCTACCTTGCACGTGGCCCAAGTACCACCAGGAGTAATTCCTGAGCGCAAAGCCAGGAGTAACCTGATCGCTGGGTGTGACCCAATAAAGCATAAATAAATAAATAAATAAATAAAAATGGTATCATGCTCACACCAAGACCCCAAGCTGTGTATGGACTAGGAATGTGGGACTTAGGCCCATTGGGAAAGGCACAGACACACGGTCAAGTCCCCACACAGGGAAAGGGTGTTCCCTCTGGCTTCACCCCCTTTTCTCCTCCTTCTACATCACCCTTGGGCAATTTTCCACACCCTTTAAAGACTCAGGGGTACAGTCAGGGAGATAACACGGCGTGAAGGGCTCTTGCTTTGCACGCTCAGGGAGCCAAGTCTGACCCCCAACACCACAGAGGCCTGGAGCAGAGTGTGACTTTCCACCCAGAGCACCAAACCTTCTGGTCTGATGGCGTGAGTCTGGCTAGGTTGGCCCCTGGGGCCCCTGAGCACAGCCGAGAGACCGTGCAGGACAGAGATGAGGAATCTTAACCTCCTGACTCAAACCTGGCCCTCCTGCTGAGGAGTCACGAATTCCTTCCGAACCCCAATTTCCTCCTCCACAAAGTGGGTTTCATCAAACTAAGTGACTACTTGAGAGTGTGGTTGTGAGTCACTATGTGAAATGTTCTAGAGAACATTCTCCGGGGCACAGAGGCCCACTAGCTCCATAGACCTCGGACCCTGCCCAGCACCTGGCATTATCATTGCTGCATTGCCACAAACCGCCTTCCAATTCACCCACCACTTGGCATGAGTGCCAGAAGCTCAGTGGGGCCCATCCTGGCACAGACGTTGCTGGGTCAAGCCATCATGCCCTTGTAATTTCAATTAATTTCTGGAGGAGAAACCCTCCCAGCAGGCAGAGGCGAGGAGCAGAGAGAGGGCAAAGCTGAGGACCGAGGGCTGGGGAGCGCCACGCCAGCCCCGTACCCTGGAGGGCCGGAGGCAGTTCCTCGGGCCGGGCCAGGCAGATGGAGGGTTTAATTGGATCCAGACTGTCCCCATAAAGGCTTTACGGGGAACCGGTTGATTGGATTAAAAGAGCAGCGGCCCCTCAGAACCAGCAGCCGCTTCACAGTCCCGGAACACAGATGATCTCCCTTTGCCGCTCTCAGCCCGGGTGCGACTCCCCTCTGAGGCCCTCGAGGACCCCCAGCATCTTATTTCTGCATCCCAATTGGGTTCACCTCTAATTCACTCATTCATTTTTTTGTTTGGGGGCCACACCTGGTGATGCTCAGAGGCTGCTCCATTACTCCTGGCTCTGCACTGAGGAATCACTCCTGGCAGCGCTCAGGGACGCCAGGGATGGAACCTGGGTTGGTTACGTGCAAGGCAAGCGCCCTCCCCATCACTTCTGAATTTTTTCTAGGTCCCAGAAGAGGGAATAGTAGAGAGCAAAGGGTTACGAGCACAGATGGTACTTAAAAGGTGTCCAGCGGGCTGGGATAACTGTGTAGGGCCTGGGAAGGGCAGCCGCCTTGCCTGTGTGAAGCACCCCTCCCCCGCTACAGCCTCGGGCAAGTCTTTCCCTCCCTGAGACTCGGACACGGGCGTCAGGGCCCTTCGTAGGGGCCCTGGGAGAGAGGCTTAAGTGGAGTCCTTGGGAGAGGGTCAAGTTCCGAGCATCAGGCCCAGGGAACAGGGCCCCTAACCAACGATGCGCAGCTGGAGAGAAGGAATTACTGCAGGGGCACCCCCGGGCCCTGGTGCAGAAGACCAAGCCGGAGGGCGGGAAAGGGCAGGCTCCAAGGAAGTCTCCTCGGCGCCCGTGGGAGAGAGAGCAACGCCAGGCGCCGCCGCAAGCGCGCGTGGGAACCCAGGTCCGGCGGCGCCCCTGAGCCTCGGTCCCCTCCAGCCGGCGGGGCCCCGGGGGTCGCCAGCAGCCGCGGCCCCGTTAGGAGCCGCGTAATTAGCGGCTGGCGGCGCGGGGCCAATTGCCGCGGGGAGCGCGGGGCAGCGCGCGCGGGGACGTGCGGGCGCCCCCGGGGGCCGCCCCCGGTGCCCCGCGCCCCGGGAAGCCGCCGCCCCAGCTCCGGGTAGGAGGAGGCGGCGGCGGAGGCGGCGGCCGGGGCGCGGGTGACGCGAGCGCGCGGGCACCTGCCTGCACGCGGGGGGCGCGGGGCCGAGCGCCAGCACCCCGGGCGCAGGCGGCGTGCGGGTCCGGCTCTGCTCCGCGTCCGCGCCCGGGAAGCGCGCGCGGCGGGAGGTGGGGCGCCGGGCCTTCGGCGGTGGCGGGAGCCGAGCCCGAGAGGGTGCCCCGAGGCCGGGCGGCCCGCGGCGCGCGCGGCGGGCTCCGGGCGCCCCCTGCTGGCCGCGGGAGCCCGGGGCGAGCAGGGTCTGGAGCTTGTTCACGGGGTGAGTTCTGGGAGGATTCCGGGGAGCGCTCCCCGCCACATCCCCCCCCCCCCCGCGCCAGCTGCTGCCCTCCAGCTCTCCTGCCTCCCTCGGGATCCCCCTTTCCCGGTGGCCAAAGAGTGAGAGATGTGCGGGGGTCCGAGGGACAGCACAGCGGGAAGAGCGTTTGCCTTGCGCGGCTGACCCCGGTTTGGTCTCCGGCATCCCAGAAGATCCACCCGAGCACCACCAGGAGTGATTCCTGAGTGCAGGAGCTCCTGAGCATTGCCGGGTGTGACCCAAACTGGTCCATTTAAGGGGCCGGAGCGAGAGCACAGCGGGGAGGCCGTTTGCCTTGCACGTGGCTGACCGGGCTCAATCCCCAGCGTCCCATAGGGTCCCCCAAGCATCGCAAGGAGTAACTCTGGAGTGCAGAGCCATGAGTAACCCCGGAGCATCGCTGGGTGTGACCCAAAAAGCAAAAAACAAAACAACCCAAAAACACAAACAAAGAACACATTTAAAAAAAAAGAGTGAGAGGAAAAAAAGCTTCTGGGTCTTGCAAATAATTGACTCCGACATCTGCCTCCCCCCTCCGCCCCCTTTCCCATCTTCACAAGCCCGTGGCAGTTTTAAATGTCAGATGGCCATGAAGCCTAGTTGACTGTGCAGCGAAATGTCTGGAACTAATTTAAACATCCACCATAAGGATATTGACCGATCTAACAGTGGTAGCTCCACACAGAGTGCAACTGGCAATACAGTCACACGAGAATGAAGTTTATAAGTGGAGTGCTAGGCAAAAGAAGTCAACACACACACACACACACACACACAGTTGAAAATCTATATAAAGTTCAGGTACAATGAACTTTTATGTTCATTGTATAAGGGGAGACTGCTCAGTGGCTGATGAGCAGGCTTTGCATGCAGGTCCCCAAGCACTACCAGGATCAACCCACAAGCACTGAGCCAGAATACTTCTGAGCACTGCTGGATGTGAACCCCCAAACCAACCAAAAACCACAAAACAGAGCTAATCAACAGTAACCGAAGATAGGATAAGGGTCATTTCTGAGAAGGTATCAGGAGCCTTTCTTTCTTCCTTTCTTTCTTTCTTTCTTTCTTTCTTTCTTTCTTTCTTTCTTTCTTTCTTTCTTTCTGTGCTTACTCCTGGCTCTGTGCTCAGGGATCATTCCTGGTGAGACTTGGAAGAACGTATGTGGTGCCAGGGATCAAACCTGTTCTTCGCAGACAAGGCAGCCCCTAATTAATATGTTACCATTGTTTGCGCCTTTCAACAATGTGTGTTGTTATACTTTCCTGCTTTTGGTGCTTACAAAAAAAGCACAAAGAAGCAAACCCCTTCACCCCAGGTCTGTCTGTTTATCTCAAAACTGTACCCTGAATCTAGGGTCAAAATGTACCGTGTCAATCCCTGCTCCAAAGTGCCACTATCCAGTTTGAACAGCCAATATAATTGCATACTGAACCGTGCTGCAAAGCAGTGGAAAGTGAAGCTCCCGAGGGTTCCAGCTGCAGAAGCACAGATTTTTCTCGAGTTTTTTTTTTTCTTTTTGGGTCACACCCGGCGATGCTCAGGGGTTATTCCTGGCTTTGCACTCTGGAATCCAGCCTGGCGGTGCTCGGGGGACCACATGGGATGCTGGGAATCGAACTCGGGTCGCCCGCGTGTAAGGCAAACGCCCTACCCGCTGTGCTATTGCTCCAGCCCCTCTCGAGCTTTTTTTTGCGATTTTTCTTTTTCGAATTTCTTTTTGCAAAGAGCAAAAGCACCCAAAGAGCAACATCCTTCTGCACACTGGACGTCCGCAAGACGCATGCGTGCCGCAACCTCAGGGGAAGGCGGGGCCTGGCTGAGACTGACACCGAGCTCGTCCTCTCCGCTGGCTGGTCCCGCCCTCCTTGCCCTGGCTCCCTCTCTGAGTGGCTGCGGGCTGGGCACGCTAACTCCCCATTGGCCGCCGCCGTCAGGACGCGGACATCCGGTTTGGGGGTCGGGCTGCAGCGCGCGCGAGCCGCGATGGTGCGGTTCAAACACAGGTGAGCGGGCGGGGGGCGGCCGCGCCCCCCGCGCGCCCCCGGCCCGCGCTCACCCGTCTCTTGGCCGTGGCAGGTACCTGCTCTGCGAGCTGGTGTCGGACGACCCCCGCTGCCGCCTGAGTCTGGAGGACCGCGTGCTCTGCAGCCTCGTCCGGGACGCGGTCGCCCGCGTGCACGGGACGTTCGGCGCCGCCGCCTGTTCCATCGGCTTCGCGGGTGCGGGGCTGGGGAGCGGGCGGTGGGAGGGGTGCGGGAGGAGGAGGAAGGGTCGGGAAGGAGCCCCAAGAACTGCTGGCAAGCTCAATAGCAGCCTCCTCGGGGTGGGGGGGGGGTCTGAAGCCCCAGGCCAGGGTCTAGAGGCGCCCTAGGTTAAGAGCGTGGTGGTTGGACTCTGGGCTGGAGACCCCTGTACCTGTTTGACAAGTCCACGTGGGGGATGTCGATGGACTCTGATAGGCTAATAGAATCAAAGGGGAAACCCTGTGTAGTTCTGATTGAGTTATTACTGGGCAAGATTGACATCACTTGCTGAAAACGTCAGGATTCGTCCTCGAGGCAGGGCAGACAGTACAGGGGTTAAGGTGCATGCCTTGCCTTTGGGTGAAATCTATTTCTTCTTGGGCATCACACAGGAGAGCCAGGAGTAAGCCCTGAGCACCATCGGGTGTGGGGGGGGGGGCGGGGGAGGGGAGGCGAGGCAAACAAAACAATGTTAATCACATCTAGGGGCAGAGCTTGTCTTCTTAGACTGGGACTTTGGTTAGATCGGCCTCTCCCCTCCCTCCCACTAGGCGGAAGAACATTAGCATTTTCAGTCCAGTCTCCAAGTTCCTGGTATCCAAGACAGGATTTTCACTCCACCTCCCCTTGTATAATGAAAATGCCCTAAAAATAATTCTTTCCCTCCGGGAAAAAGAAATGCAGCCTAAGTACCATTGCCTTAGAACACCCACACAGTTACAGGCTCCTGACTATCCTGGCTTGTTGTTTTGGGGGCCATACCCAGCAATGCTCCTGACTCTGCACTCAGGAATCCTGGCGGTGCTCAGGATTGGAACGCAGCTTGGTCTTGTCTAAGGCAAGCCTTAACCCTTGTATTGTCTCTGCCCCCAGTTATCGTGGATTTAACCTGCTCCTATAAATCCAAAGTTTTCCAAATAAACACCACCACTCTCACACCAACATGCCCACCCTTGCTCTCCATAGTTCGATACCTCAATGCCTATACTGGCATAGTACTCCTTCGCTGCCGGAAAGAATTCTACCAGCTTGTGTGGTCAGCTCTTCCCTTCATCACCTACTTGGAGAACAAAGGACACCGTTACTCCTGTTTTCTCAACACCTTACATGTGGGAGGTACGTGTATGTGGTGCGACTGATTTTCAGTCAACAGGTGGAGTCCACTGGGGCCCTTGGCAAGAGCTGGATAGAAAGTTCTAGTCCTTTCACGGATGGAGGGAGGATGGGTTGCCATTTTGAGGGTTGGACCATTCCCAGCTGTACTGTTTTGACTCAGGCTCGGCACTCAGGGATCACTCCTGGTGGGGCTCAGGGGATCATATGTGGTGCCGGGGGTTGAACTAGGGTCAGCCGCATACAAGGCAAGCTCCCTGCCTGCTGTTCCCATCCTCCGGCCCCTTGAGTTGAGTCTTGACTAGTGGGTGGGTCTTGCTGAACTGCTGAGAATGAGATGCTTTCCACCGCCTGGAGGCTTTCACACACCGTTGACTGCAACTCTTTGGCACCGCAGGTACAATTAGAACCTGTCAGAAGTTCCTGATCCAGTACAACAGGAGGCAACTGTTGGTCTTGTTGCAGCACTGCACCGACCCAGGTAAGTCCCAGGAGCCCTTGACCACCAAGTAGGGCCCCTCCCCTGCTTGAGGAAGAGCTCACTCCCAGAGGATTGTTCTTGCTGGAACTGCCTTTCTCCAGGAGAACGGGATGCGATTCAGAAGTCTGTCACGAGAAGCTGCCTGCTGGACGAGGGGTCGGGAGAGGAGGAGCTTTCTGAGAGTGGAGGCGAGGATGCTGCGGAAGCAATGGAGTCAGGACAGGCTCCAAGGTGCCCGCCTGGGCTCCAGACTGGAACGGGACATGCTGGGCGTGAGCAGCAGTTTGAGTTGTCCGGACCGAATCGCTGATGACCGGAACGTATTCGCAACTTGAGCGGAGGATGCACTTAAACCAGAGTTGCCCCTTTCCTCGCTCTGTCTGGTTCAGAGGTTCTGGTTCATTCATGAACCCCCTGTAGTTAATTTTTGTATGTAGCTGTCTGGCTGAGAATAGGTTTAATAAATGTATTTCGCCTCTGCAGCATTGAGCATACTTCAGGAATTCATGCTTGGTCCAGTCTCTCCTCCTGGTCTCTGACTGGGAAGACTGGTTCTGGACTTAAGTATTATTTGATGAACACCCATTTCCGCCGAGCAAAGCTGGTCATTTAGAGTCCAGCTCTTACACTCTGGAGTGAGACCCATCCAGTGAATAATGTTTTAAAACATAAATTTGTCAGTAAATGTTTGGGTTCTATACGTATTTAACCAATCGCACAAAAACTTCTTGAGCAAAAAAGGGGTTGCCAGGAGCTGGGAAGATAGTTTAGCAGGGAAGGTACTGTGCATGAAGCAGACCCTGGTTTGGTCCCCAACACTGCATGTTCCCCTGAGCACCTCCAGGAGTGTGCCCTGAACAGAGCCCGGAGGAAATCCTGAGCACTTGAGCACTGCTGGCTGTGGGACCCAGAACCAAAAATGAAAGGATGGGGTATATCGCAGAAATTTCCAAGCAGTCTCAGTATGGACCAAAAGAACCCTAAGATCCTTGACAATACTTCATTTTAAAATGCAGTCATGGGGCCAGTACCAGAGGGAAGGCATTTCCTCGTGTACTGAGCTGGGTTCAATCTCTGGCACCCCTGGGTGTGGTGCCCAAATGAAACAAAAAACATTTAGTCCTGGCACTTTGAAGAGTTTCATCTGACGTCATCCTCCTGAAGGGAGCAGCAGTTCCCAGCTCCTGGTAGCCTCGTGGGGCTGTGCATTACCTACTGCCTGGTACCTTTTGTTTTGGGGTCACACCTGGCGATGCTCAAGTTTTACTCCTGGCTCTGCACTCAGGAAAATTCCTGGTGGTGCTTGGGGGATGATACGGGGTGCCAGGGATCAAGTCTGGGTTGCACAAGGCAGAACCCTACCTGCTGCTGTACTATTGATCTGGCCCCCTGCCTGGTACCTTAAGATCTGAAACTGCCACACCTTTAAGAATTGGAGGGAAGTAACGTGTTAAGTTTGACTGTGGGGAGGCGGGGGCCAAACACCGGGCGTGCTCAGAGGTTGCTCCTGGTGGGCTCAGGGCATAACGATTTGTTGAGTTTAATAGCTGACTTTGTTTTCCTGCAGTGCTCAGCCCAGCAACTCCTAGATGAGAACTCTACTGGGGGTATGAGGGTGCCTCAACCCAGAGCTGAGGGGCCTCGGTGGAGCAATACTCAGGCTTCTATTAAACAGATGAGAGACAACTGAGAGTCTTATCCTGAAGCGCATGCTTCTGCATCCCAGCATCCCAGGTTCAATCCTAGCAGTGAGCCAGGAGTAGCCTCTGTACACTACAGTAGCAAGTGTGGCCCAAAAGTCAAAAAGGGGAAAAAAATAAAAATCATACAAGGGACTTTGGTATGCATTTTATTATGGAGAAAATGGACTGGGATAAAAACTGCTCAGTTTGATTATAAAAACAAATTTTACACATTGTAGAAATGGATATTAAAAAGACTTAGGCAACACACACACGCACACAAAGGGCTGGGGATGTGGTAGAACAGCAGTAGAACTTTGCATGTACGGGGTCCTGGCTCTGACCCCTAGCACTCCCACAAAGCCTCCCTCCCCTGCCTAAGCCCACCTTAAGTAGCCTTTTCCTTGACAGAGCTGCTCACGTTCAACATAGATGTTATTCAACCTACATCAAAACAACGTCTAGATCGGTGATTCTCGACGTTTTTTCTGACTGTGGCCCCCTTTTGACCTGGTATCCTCCCTGTCCTACCCGTCGGTCCCCTAGCCTGATGCTATTGACCTCCTTGGCATATCCTGGGGATCCCCAGTTGAGAAAACACTGGTCCAGATGACGTGAAATGGGCTTAAAAAAAAAAAAACAGTTCACAATGCTTGTGCAGGTGATTTATTGTAACTATTTACCTTCACACTCTATTACACCTAGAGGTTACTTTTATTAAGCAGCGAAAGAATTCACATCCAATTCAGCTTAAACCAAGACAAGCCTGCTCCGGGCCTTCGGGAGCAGAGGGCAGCCCCACGCCACTGCTTGCAAACTGCTCTGCTTTGCCTCCAGGTGTCACACACTCCTCAGCTCCTACAACTCAGGTCACTAGCAATGAAACAGACTTGGTCTGGCGGCGGCAGGGCCTGGCTTCCTCGACTCCGCCATCTCTGCCTTGCCAACCGACGTGCAGTGTCACCCACGTCTGGCACCACCGCCTGATCACTTCGGAAGTAAACTGCAATTCAGGCTGGGTGACCTAAATCCATCTTACTCCCATCGCAGTTTCTTGAACAAGAGGAGAACTGAACAGATGGGACAAAGGGAAAAACAAAACACGTTTTTAAAAAGCAAACTCAGGTGTCCTGAGACCTCCCTGCCCAACTCGGGAGGCCGAGTGGCACCGCGCCACTCCGGGCTGCTCCGAGGGATGGCTGATGGAAAACCTAATTACACACGAGCCAAAAAAGACTAACCTGGCAACAAACTAAAATCCTTGGCAGGAAAAGATCTCTTGTGAGTGGCAATACTTTATTTTGGTGTAAAGATGGGAAGCTGGAAAATACACTGTATTTAAAATTTTCTTGGTTCCCCCTTATGTTGTGGAAACCCCCTCCCCCCAGAGCTAATCTGTTCAAACTCAAAATACTTAAAATTACAGCAGCAAATCAAAAGCACAGGGAAAAAACAGATGGAGAAGGTAGGTTGGGCCAGTAGTGTCACTTGGTATGAACGACTGAGGTGCTGAAGAGGAGCTTCTGTTTCTGTTTTTTTCTTTTCTTTCCTCCTTTTTCTTCTAAACAGAAACACAAGAAAACGTCGCTTAGAATGCTAGTCCCACTCCCCCAACCCTCGTCCCGTTTTCATTACTGAAAGGAGGTGGCAGGTAGGAGTGCAGGCTCTAGCAAGACCACCTCGATGCAAATGCCAAACCCTAAATACTGCCGGCATTTGCCTTTTTCAAAAATCCCTCTCCAGCTCTGAACGTGGCCTATGGGCTGGACCTATGTGATGTGATGAATGGCATTTGAAATTAGCAAAAAATGCCAGGCACACTAAAACCCCCATAAAGGTGTGTCACTTTTGCCAAGTCGTGAATACTAGTGTGGGAATGGGCTTCCCAGCCTGACTCCCAGCTAGGAGTCTTCAATTCTAGTCTAAAATGTGGGCAGGATTACTTACTCTCTATGTAGCAAAAGGAAGAGGGCCTCAAAATTTCACATCTGGGCTTTTAGGGGGTGCAAAAAGTCCCCGTGTGACATTCTACGCGGAATGTTGGCTGGCCCTGCACCGTGAGCCTAGCAGTTCAGAGGGAGAGTCGCCCAGCTGGCGAGGGGTGTGCATGGGGGTACATCTGGCTCCCCATTCTTTGCCCCCTTACCAGAGAGGGGGTCAGAGGTCGCCGGTGTGTCCAGTTTCATGAAGGCTGCTTCAATGGCTTGGCTGAAGGAATTCTGGAAACTGGGCACAGGAACACGGTCTGAGTTATCGCTCTCCCCGTCGCTGTCCACAGGGGCAGGAGGAACTAAGCTGTTTTCATCTACAAAAATAGCAGTGTCACAGTTACAATTCTACAGACCAATTTAGAGCCTGTTACTTTCTCAAGGACTCACAGTGCCCGGGCATCCCTGGGCCCCAGTACTGCCCGGGGACGGCTCAGGCAAAAAGTGCCTGCCACTGAACTGAGAGCTCCGAGTCTGATGTCCGTGGGCACCCTGCTCCCAGCAACGTGGCCTGGTGCACTCAGAGTGTGGCCACGGAATGTGGGACGCCCAGGAAGAACTGCAGTGGGAGTGCCAATGACTAGCGGCCACCACCACCAGAGCATGCGTGACCCCGAGCCATTATAGAGAGACAAGGAAATAGGACACCCCGCCCCTTCTCACCTTTCTTTGGAGTAGCTTTGGGCCACACGTCTGCTTTTGCTTTTCCAACCCTCAGCATCTGCCAACATGGAAAGAGACCAATGAATCTGAGTCACCAGTTCCATCTCTTCTAAGCATCTCCCCTTGTTAGGAGAAGCTGTGAAGTGGTTCGGGGGCTTTCGGAGCCAACTGTTGCCTTTGACAAGCTCTTCCGGGGGCTAAAGAGGTCCCATCGGACTGAACGCGGGCTGCCCATGCAGGAGGCCAAACTCATTCTCTGGCAACACATGTTAATGCCCCAGCACTGCCAGGCGTGACTCAAATCATACAAAAGCTTTTCCAGGTGCTTCCTGATCACGATGTCTTGACTCTAGCCTCTGTATCCTGACCAGTGGAAGAACTAGCAGTGAACCCCACACGCTGGGAAACCAGAAGCTGTTTCGTTCTTTAGGAAATAGGTAGAGATTACTGCATAGAAGGCACAAGAGACTTTGGGGTGGGGGCGGGCAGAGAAGAGCGGGTGTAGGGGCCACACCTACCAGTGCTCAGGGACTGGATCTGTTCTCCCCTCTGTCCTAGAGCTCCAACCCCTGCATTCCCTTCGCTTTTACAAGGGTTTTTTGTTAGCTTTTAGATGTAGTCATAGAGAACAAAACAAGGTACAGCGGCCGGGCATTTGCCTGGGTCCAATCCCTGGCATCCTGAGCATCACCAGGAGTAACCAAAAAACAAAACAAAACAAAAACAAAAACAAACAAAAACACCATAATTAAAAAAAAATGATCTGATAACTCTAAATGATGTAACAGTCTATGACCAGTTGGCAGTTGACACAATGTTTCAACAATATTATTCTGCTGTTTAGTATAATGGAAACAAAAACAATTTAAATGTTCCCTAAGATTTTCATCTAAGTGATCTAGTAAAAGTAGTGAGACTGCTCCAAGGGCTGTGGCGCTGACTGCATGCAGGAGCCCTGGGCTCACTCCCCTCTACCGTATAAAAGGTCCCCAGCGCCATGCTGCCAGGAGGACCCAAAAATCCTAACAAAGAGCAGTCCATGCCACACAAACGGAATAAAGCCCATCGAGGGCAGAGGAACTGTTTTGGCTCGAAAGAGAAAGAGAGGCCTTAAAATTAAATGCAAGAGGGGGCTGGAGCGATAGCACAGCGGGTAGGGCGTTTGCCTTGCACACAGCCAACATGGTCAACCCGGGTTCGATTCCCAGCATCCCATATGGTCCCCCGAGCACCGCCAGGAGCAATTCCTGAGTGCATGAGCCAGGAGTAACCCCTGAGCATCACCGGGCGTGACCCAAAAAGAAAAAAAAAATAAATGCAAGAATAATCTCTGTATATACCCAAATAAAAATAATACAGAGCACTACAGAAATATGTACAATATTAGGTAGTGTTAAATCATTTGCATTTCTTCAATAATTAAATCATAGGGCCAAAAGCTTAGCACAGTGGGTAGGGTGCTTGCTTTGCACACAGCCAACCAGGGTTCAATCCCCTGCACCCCAGATGGTCCCCCAAGCACAGCCAGGAGTGATCCCTGAGAATGATGGGGAGCTGCCACTGAGCTTTACTCGATGTGGCAGAAAATGAAAACAGAACCAAACAATTCGGGCAACTGACAACTCTGGAAAGATCACTTGCTTATAACCCTGAAGTCTAGCAGCTGTTACTTTTCAGAACTGCTTTCAGATCGCATCTTTCTCCTTTATTTCAGGACAAAAGTTCAACTTCAGCTTATTTCTCAAACTGCCATAAGAAATATCAACATCAACTGTTCTTAATAACTTTGTGTTTTTTTTTTTTTGTTCTGCTTTTTGGGTGACACCCAGCAATGCTCAGGGGTTACTCCTGGCTCTTTACTCAGGAATTATTCCTGGTGGTGCTGGGGGACCATATGGGATGCTGGGAATTGAGCTCAGGTCAGCCGCGTACACGGCAAATGCCCTACCCACTGTGCTATCGCTCCGGCCCCCTCTGAGAGTACAGTGGGTGGGGTGTTTGCCTTGCACTTGGCTGAGGTGGTTTTGATCCCTGGCACCGCACATGGACCGAGTGATCCCTGAGCACCTCCAGGTGTGGCCCCCAAACAGAAAGACTGCTAGATCAGTGATTCCACACTAAGTCCCAGGGAGAACTTGTGTGTGCATGCTTTTCAAGCTGTCAGTTCTTCTGCAGCTCTCTGAATAAGGATTGCCAAGTGTTTGCTTTTGGTTTTAAAGAATAAAGTGAGGAGTTGGGGAGACAGTACAGTGGGTAAGGCACTTGGCTTGCACTCCGCCGATGCCGGTTCGGACCCTGGCATCTCACAGGGTCCCTTGAGCAGTGCAGGAGTGATTCCTGAGTGCAGAGCCAGGAGGAACCCCTAAGCATAGCTGGGTGCAGCCCCCAAACAAAAATGAAAAAAGATTAAAGTGAGGGGCTGGAGTGATAGTAGAGTGGGGAGGGCGTTTGCCTTGCAAGTGGCCGACCCAGCTTGATTCCCAGCATCCCACAGGGTCCCCTGAGCACCGCCAGGAGTAATTCCTGAGTGCAAAAAGCCAGGAGTAACCTGAGCATTGCCGGGTGTGACCCAAAAAACAAAAACAAACAAAAAAAAGAATAAAGTGAGGGGCTGGAGACAGCAACAGCACAGAGCCAAGAGTAAGCTGAGCACAGCTACGTGGGGCCCGAAACCCTCACCAAAAAATAAATAAAATGAATAAAGAAACTTTTCCTTCCTAAAGAGAGATAATTTTATGGCAGTGCTAGCCTGAGGAAGAGCTTGCTGAGGGTGCCTGAGAGACAGTGCAATGGTCAAGGCGCCTGTGCTGGAAATGACCACCAACCATCAGTCAAGCGGGCCTTGCTCCCCAGCGTGGGCAGTCCCCAGCACCAGCCAAAAAACCCCAAAATAAATAAATAATGAATAAACTGATACGGCCCTGGTAGTTCAACGAGTGGGAGAACACGCTTCGCGTGTGGAAGGCCAGGGACCATATCATCCCCTAAGCACTGGGACCACCCCGAGCCCGGCCGGAGTAGCCCTGATACACCACTGCGTGTGGCCCAAAAGCAAGAATAAAAAAACCGACTCTCCCCAGCCCGCGGATGAGCACGCAATAATCTAATATGATCATTAAAACTGCTGTTCCCTCAGTTATTCCCAGCCACGTTCCTAGTTTACAGGAATGTCTGGGTCGCCCCAAGAGGTGCCACGGGACAAGTCACCCGATTCAGTCAGCGCAGGAGGCCGAGTCTCTCCGTCTCCGACGAGCCCCTGAAAGAACCCACAGCAGGGTAACCCCAACTTCTGACACAAGCCAAGAATTCACCTGGGCGAAAGACGGGAAGGGAGAGTCCTCTTCCAAACTCCCTACGCAGAATGAGGGACTTCCCTGGCTGGTCGTAGGCGACAGAGGCGTCAGCAGGAAGTCTGAAAGGGAACCAGAGATCCAGTTACCCAGGTTCCACAGAATATCCTCTTCACAAAGAAAAGACCCCCCAGAAAACCGACTGTGACTTATCTTCAAGTTTGCCATGTTCCTATAAAGCCAAGGGTATGGCCTATTATTCACAAAAGTCATGGTACACAGATAAACAGAAGTTTTGTCGCCACTCTTGAAGACACGGTGGGATCTACACGCGTAGTAAGAAGCCCTTCCACCTCCCCTGGCGGTTGGGGCCCCAGCATCCTACCAGGGACTGGCTTTGCACAGGCAAAATGCTCCAAGGAAAAGATAAAATTCAATCAAGTCAGCCTTATGTCCCAGGCAGCACATGCCTAGGCCCAGGTAACACTCAGCTAAAATCCAACTTGCATACCTCAACAGTTTGAAAATGCCGGCTTTTCTCTCCAACACTCTTCATTCTGCTGAGGGCTTCCCCCAGCGCCCCCTACCCACTGCCCCTACCCACTGCTAGTCACACGCACTCCCAGTGGATGGACCCGGATTCATGCCCACGACCATACGATTGTTCTTTCTTGTTTTAAGGCTTGGGACTGGAGAGAGTACGAAGGGTCTAGTTTTGCACACAGATGACCCAGGTTTCATCCCCAGCACTGCATCTGGTACCCTGAACCTGCTGGGAAGTGATTCCTGACTCTTCAGAGCACTGCCAGGGGTGGCTCCCAAACAAACAAAAGTGGAAAAATATTCACAAACGATTGTTTCCTTTTATCTCAGTCTAGAGAAAGGGGCCAGAGAAACAGAGATGGGGCCAGACTGACAGTGGGGAGGGCGCTTGCCTTGTCTGTGGCTGACCTGGTTTGATCCCTAGCACTCGTGTTTCCCCAAGCTCGCCAGGAGTGACCCATGAGGGCAGAGCCCTGAGTATGCTCTGAGCACCGCCAGGTATGGCTCAAAATGAAACAAAAGAGTACTTCGTGGAGAACATTTCCTTCTTTGATAGGCAGAAAGCATTTGATAGTATGAATGCTGTAACCTCCCACTTTCTAAATGCTTCAACAAGGAAGGAACATGTACAAGTATCTAGTGGTAAGTGCAGTAGAAGTAGTAGTAGTAGTAGCAGCAGCAGCAGCAGTAGTAGTAGTAGTTCTACTACTACTACTACTAGTAGTAGTACTAATACTGTCCTCCCGTTGTTCATTGATTTGTTCGAGCGGGCACCAGTAACGTCTCTGTTGTAAGACTTGTTACTGTTTTTGGCATATCAAATACACTATGGGGAGCTTGCCAGGTTCTGCCATGCAGGCGGGATACTCTTGGTAGCTTGCGGGGCTCTCCAAGAGGGGCGGAGGAATCAAACCTGGACCGGCTGCATGCAAGGCAGAAATGCCCTACACTGTGCTATCACTCCAGTCCAAGGGTATCTCAAAGATAAAAAAATATACAAGTAAGTTCAGGGGTTAAGGCCGACCTTGGTTTGATCGCATTACAATGTGGTGTACGGGGCCAGGAGCAAGCCCTAAGCACTACCAGTGTAACAAAACAAACTTTTCTTTCTGGGAAGAACACAGCTAGTCACAGTGAGGAATCTACACCTAACTATCCGACTGCGCACTACCCCTTAACTTTCTCAGAAGCTAGTGGGGATCATGGAGTCAATGGGAATATGATTCAGACACACACACTGCGCAGAGAATGACCATTCGCCCCCAAACTGGAGTTCAGACCAGGGCTTTGGTTAAGATGTGTGGCTGGCGGCTGACTTCTTTAAATCCCAACTCATCGCTCACCTGCTTGGGAACTTGGACTTCTGCTAAGAGGAGAGAGAGAGAGCGCCCCCAGGCTCTCGCTGCTGGTGGGACCCAAAGCAGAGTCAGAGGAGCAGGTGTACGAATTGAAGGCAGGAAACTGCTGTAGATTCTCCAGGGGAATGTGGACTTCTGGGTCTGTCAAGACAAGAATGGCAGAATTCCTTCCATCTTTTTTTTGTTTTAATTATTATTTATGTTGTTTTTTAGGGCCCCACCCAGCAGGGCTCAGGGCTCACTCCTGACAGTGTTTAGGGGAAACTACATGAGTGCTGGGGATTGAACCCGGATCTGCACATACAAGGCAAGCACCTACCTGCTGAACAGTCTCTCTGGCCCTAGAATTCTTTTTCAATAGTTGAGACCAGAAAATATGTATGTCCCAAAGCTAAAGGAAAGACATTTCATTTATTTATTTTTAAGGCCAGGGATCAATTCCTCTACCACTTAACCCACCTTCCTCAGCCCTAGACAGATGCTTTTTTTTCTTTTTGGGTCACACCCGGCAAGCTACAGGGGTTACTCCTGGCTTTGCACTCAGGAATTATTCCTGGTGGTGCTCGGGGGATCATATGGGATGCTGGGAATCGAACCGGGGTCAGCCGTGTGCAAGGCGAACACCCTACCCGCTGTACTATCACTCCAGCCCCCTAGTCAGAAGCTTTAAAATTCAAATTTGTAGCACCAGAAATGCAGCTCAGCAGTAGAACCCTTGCCTTTGCATTTGAAGTTTGGGTTTGATCCTACATTGCAAAAACAAAACCCAAGTTTATAATTACTGTCACTTTATAATATCTTTGGGGCCAGAGCGCTAACACAGCTGGCAGATTGCTTGCCCTGAATGGGACTGACCATTCTTTGATCCTTGGCACCATACAGGGTCCCCCAAGTCCTGCCAGGAGTGGTCCCTGAGCACAGGGTCAGGAAGGAGTCAGTCAGCAAAGAGTAAGAAAGCTGAGAACTGCAGGGTATGGCCCCAAAACCAAACCAAATATATACGTATGTACATTAAAAAGTCTTGTTTTGGGCTGGAGCAATAGCACAGCGGGGAGGGCGTTTGCCTTGCACGCGGCCAACCCGGGTTTGATTCCCAGCATCCCATAGGGTCCCCCAAGCACCACCAGGAGTAATTCCTGAGTGCCTGAGCCAGGAGTAACCCCTGTGCATCGCTGGGTGCAACCCAAAAAGAAAAAAATAAATAAAATAAAAATAAAAAGGCTCGTTTTATCTAGTCTTAATTATAGCTAGATAAACATGAGACTGATTAATTATACTGTTCTCTGTACTTGAACATTTCCATAATTAAGACAGCCTTGGGCCAAACAGACAGCTCACAGGGCTGAGCGCAGGCTTTGATCGCAGAAAGCCCAGGTGGGCTCTCTGGCTCCCGCCAGCACCACTGGGAGTGACCCCAAATCAAGAAACAAAGCCTTCATTCTGAAAACACTGGCCATCAGCATTCTTAAACATTTAGGACATTTGTCAAACAGCTACACCATGTTATGATACAAGATACTGACAAATAAAATTTATGTTTAACTCATCTTTTCCCTAGCCAAGGGCTAATTCCCTATTTTCTGGGGGATGGCCTAAACCATCATGTTAATCTCCTGGATCCAATGCCACTTAATCAGAGAAACTGATAAAAGACAGAGCTTATTGACCTAAAGGAGTTCTTGATTTGCTAATTTCCCTTTTGTCAGTTTTTTGCTGTATCTGGTCCTCTCTTTCTTTTTTTGTTTGGGGGCCACAGAGGTGACTGGGTTGGCGCTCCCAGGCAAGAGCCTTAACCCCTGTCCTCTCTGGCTCTCTTGACACACTTGCGGTAGGTAGAAGTTCCTTTGAATAGAGCTAAAGGCGGTGACAGGCCGGAGAGGGAGTAGCGGAAGCAAGGTACTTGGCCTTGCATGCAGTGGGCCCTGGTTGAAGGCCCTGCACCAGAGACGGCCCCCGAGGCACCACCAGGAGCGAGCCGAACACAGAGCCAGATCTCGCCAGCTGTGGCACCAACTCCTCCCCTCTCCAAAGACGAGAACCATGTCAATAACCTAGTCAGGGTCCAGGGAAACCGCAAAGCAATCGGTGAACACACACCCCAGCATTTGGTCAAAACTCAGATCCCCTAGTGCCCCATACTGTGTAAAGCACGACTCTGGCCACTGCTGTGATGCCTGGCAAGGAGCTGCCAGGGTGAGAAGTGTGAGCCGTGGCGAGCACCACAGCTAGACCTTGGGTGGCCCAGCCAAGAGCACGTGTGCAAGCACCACAACATGATGAAACACCCACCCTCTCCACCAGCAAACACCACAAACGGGTGTGCGCAATTCCCGGACAGCAGCACGGCATGTACCACCACAACAGAAGGGAGGAAGGGAAGGAATTAAAAAAAAAAAGTTTCATTCAGAGAGCACCCATGTCAACTGTCCCTTGCGTTCAGGAAATCTGCAATTTTCTTCCCTAAAACAGGTATTTTCACTATACCAGGATGAAATACTTCTCACTTTGACCCACACTAATTCACTTTCTCCAATAAGCCTACAAACAACTCACATTTAGGAATGGAGGAAACTGGGGTTAGAGAGAGTACAGAGGACAGGGAGCTTGCCGTGCTCAAAGACGACCCAGCTTCAATCCCTGGCACCCCACATGAGCCCACCAGAAGTATTTCGTGAGCAGAGTCGGAAGTAACCCCCTGAGCATCGATGGGTAGGAACAGAACTAAAGAAAGCTAAAAACTGCCTTTCAGCAGAAAGTTTGCCATGGCAGGACCGGCAGGTACTAGGACATGGTGGAGGGAAGTGGACACTCTGGTGGGGGTGAATGCCAAAATGATTTATGCAAGACGGCATGCCTTCAACAGAACTGCAAACCATAGTGCCCAAAATAAAAACCAAAGCAGAGAAGGGGGCCGAGAAACCACTCAAATCTGAATGCTCAGATTAAACACCCAGCACCACATGGTCCCGAGCCTCCGGCCAGAAACAGCACCACTGAGTCAGGCACCTCCCCCCTCTGCCCCCCAAGACAGCTGCAGAGAAGCAGCGGAGTTAGAGCTCAGGCGGGAAGCCAGGCAGTCAGGCCCCAGGTCCGGGCACTAGGCTCACTGCACCGGCAGCAGCTCTGCCGGTCAGAGGAGAGCTGGCCCATAAACTTACACTTGCCCTGTTTCTTGTTCTCCTCCATCTCGATCCTGCGCTCTCGGCGGCGCTCCTCCCGAGCCTTCTTCTGGCGCTGACGCTTCCTCTTCTCGATGTCATCTGTAGGGCGAGTAGGGAGTGAACGGCAGACCCGGGACAAGCCCGCCGATAACTCCTTCCTGTGGGCCAACAGCTGAGGCCCAGAGAAGCTGGATGAAGGGTCTGAGCACTAAGACTCTGACACGGCTCCTGAATTCCTCCGACTCCAGGTTTCTGATCAGAAGAAGGAATCCCGGAGCCCCATTATAAAGAGGCGCAAAATAGAGTCATCCTCACCTGAGAATATCTCCAGGGTTTCTTTGGAGACCAGGGGAGGCTGAAGGGCCAGTTCACAGATGCTGAACTCACAGGTGAGTGGCAAGTGGGAGAGATACCTGTGACGCTGGCGAACATCCTGCAATCGGAGGGGACCAGCACTCAACCAAAACCGGGCCGAACTCGAAGGATGAACATTCCCACCCCAACTGTCCAAGGCCATGTACGACTCACAGACAGCCCAAAGAGTAAGGGGCCGTTTTGAAATCCGAGCAGAAACTGCCAGTTACTCAACAAGAAGATGGATTAAACAACCAAAAGTGCTTTTTTTCATTTGGTTTGTGCTGCAAATGAATGAATTTCACTGGCTTAAATCTGATGGGTTGGCTGGATCCTAATCTGATTTTGTGTGTGTGCTGGAGAAAGGGGCGGGGAGACGTGATGTTCAAGACTGCAGGGGAAAAACAGCAAAGGGGAAAAACGTATCTTCGGGGCAAGAGCGTCAGTGCTGCAGAGGGAGGGTGCTTGCTTGCCTTGCGGGCAGCTAAACCATGTTCAATCCCTGACACCCATATGGTTCCCAAGTCCCACTGGGTGATCCTGGAATGCAGAGCCAGGAATAAGCCCCGAGCACTGCTGGGTGTGCCCCTCCCCACAAAAAAAAGAGTACGTGCTAGCATTAAACCTGGGAACTTCTTTTGGGTGGGGAGGAGGGCTGGGGCCATCCATACCTAGCAGTGTTCAGGGCGGTGCCGGAATTCAAATGGGGATCAGCCACACACAGGACCCTGTACTATCTCTCTGGCCACTGGCGGCAATATAACTGGGAATCACTTGCAAATTTAATAACTGGAAAGGTTGACAGAGCAGATTTCTCTACTTTGTCAGAAAATAATAATAATAATGAAAGCCTATCAATTCAAGTCTAGCAATTTATTCAGCAGTACCAGGGGTCAAATTCATACACGCAAGCTAAGTCCTCAAGTTTAATATTCTCAATTCTTTTGCTTTTGGGGGCCACACCTGGAGGTGCTCAGGGCTTACTCCTGGCTCTGAACTATGAATCACTCCTTGAAGGGATTGGGGTACCACATGGAGTGCTGGGGATCAAATGGGGGTTGGCCACATGCAAGACAAACTGTACTATCACTCCAGTATCTTCTCTCTTCTTTACATGTCTGATGAACAGTTTTTAAAATTCATAAGCATTTTTGAGCGGAGGACAGGAGTGGAGGAATGGGTCGAGCCTGGCATTCCTCAGGGCACCACAGGCAGTGCAGGGACTGAACCAGAGTCAGACACATACAAGGCAAGAGCCTTGGCTCCACACTCTCTCTCTGATGTGAAAGCCCCGTTCTGTGTCGGGGCCTCCCCGGTAGAGCTCAGGGCCTATGAGATGCTGAGGAGAAAACCAACGGCGTGAGTGTGCAGAGCTATGAACTGGTCTCCAAACTCTCAACTAAGGACACTTAAAACAAACTTGAAATCAACACAAGATTCCTAAAGGGCAAAACTTCACGCAGATAAATTATTAAAAAAAAAGTTAAAAATGCTTTTCTAGGAATCGGGTGATAGTAGGGCATTTGCCTTACACTTAGCTGACCCAGGTACAATCCCCGGCACCCCTTATGGTCCCATAAGCACCACCAGGAGGATCCCTGAGTGCAGAGTCAGGAGTAAGTCCTGAGCGCCTTTAGGTGGTCCCCCAAACAAACAATAAAATGCTTTTAGGGGCCAGAGACACAGTAGCAGGCAAAACACTTGCCTTGCGTGCACAGTTGACCCAGGTTCATTCATTTTTTTTCATTCATCATCCTGTTAATCGTCGATTGCCTCGAGCAGGCCCCAGTGACGTCTCCTTCACCCTAGCCCTGAGATTATATTCAAGGCTCTTTAGGAGAATGAGACCCATCATTGTTACTGGTATTTGACATATTGGGTACGCCACGGGGAGTTTGCCAGACTCTGCCCTGTGGGCAGGCTACATTCAATAGCCTGCAAGTTTGTCCAAAGTAGGAATGAGATAATAAGATGTCATAAAAAGATGTCCTGATTGACCCAGGTTCAATCCCTGGAAACCCATTTAGTCCTCTAAGCCCTGCCAGGGAAGATCCTTGACTGTAGAGCCAGGAAGAAGCTCTGAGTACCACCGGGTGTGGCACAAAAACAAATACATACATACGCTTTTCAGGGGGGCTAGAACCATAGTACAGTGGATGGGGCTCTTGCCTTACATGCAGTTGTCCCAAGTTCAATCCCCGGCACCCCTAAGATCACCCAAGCACCGCCAGGAGTGATCACTGAGCACAGAGCCAGGAGTAAGCCCAGAATACCAGCAAGAGTGGCCCCAAAGTAAACAACAACCTTATAGCACAGTGGGCCTGAAGAAATAGTACAGGGGTCAAGGTTCTTGCCTCGGGTGCAGTCGACCCCTCTTAATCCCCTGGGCACTGACAGGGATAATGTCCTAAGCATGGTTGGGTGTGGACAAAATACAACTACAAAAATGTTCAGTTGGGGCTGGAGATAACATCATGTAAGGCACTTTGCCTGCATAGTATATGTTCTCCCAGCATCACCTGTTACAGCCCAAAACTAACAGGGAGGGAGAGGGGAGAAGGGGTGAGGGGGGGGGAGAGAAAGGGAGAGGGAGGGAGGGAGGGAGAGAAGGAGAGAGAGAAAGAGAGAGGGAGGGAGGGAGAGAGAGAGAGGGAGAGAGGGAGACAAAGAGGGAGAGGGAGGAATAAAGGTTTTTCCCTTGGGACTGGGGCGATGGCACGGCTGGAGCACACACACGGCCTGCATTCAAGGCCCAGGCTCAATCCCCAGCCTCTCATGGTGCCAGCACTAAGGAAAGCGGGCCCTATGCCCCGCTCGGTGTGGAGACACAAAAGCACCAGCAAGACTAAAATAACTCTAGGCCTTGGCGAGCATCAGCTTGGTGGCAGGGCAGATGCTCTTTGCGAGTCTAAGAGCCTGGGCTGAAGACCCAGAATCTTTCCCCTTACAGGCAGATCTTGAGGTGGTGACCCGAGTCACTAGGCCTGTCTTGGGGAAATGAGATTTCTCCCGCCCTGACCCCCAGGAAGGCCCGTACCTCGGACATGGAGTAGCCAGCAATCTCCACCACCGTGGCTGAGATCTTCTCGGGGCTCTGCTCCAGGCTGCCGTACTCGCGCGCGAGGCAGCGCACGTTGACCGGGTGCAGAAACATGTGCTGCCCGTCCTCCGCTGGGAACAGAGGCTCTGTCAGCCACGGCTGGGCCAGCCCCCAGACCGGCCCGCTGCACCCTCCACACACCAAGCAGCACAGCACCCCAGCACACCTGTGCCCGGGACTGAGCGCGACCAACCTCCCCTGCTTCGAGCCAGGTGACTCGGAAAATACCCCAGGGTTCTCCAGCCCTCCCGACCCCCTCACCTTGGTAAAAGTAGTAGCAAGGAGAGCTGCTCAGGGGTGTGAATCCTGGCTTCGGGATGGGATCCTGCTGGCTGGACTCGGTACACACAGTCCCCTCTCCGAGATGGTCATCTGCGAACTCCGAGTCGTCGCAGGCCTCGGACAAGCCCTCGGGTTCCGCTTCAAACTGCGTTTCCTCTTCCTCTACCAGAGGGAGAGCAAGAGAACGGGGCGAGCCCAGAGAACAAACATCGGTGGCTTCTTCATCAAAAGCAGAGAGATATTCTAGCACACCCTGTGGGGACAAATGCCAGATCAACAGAAAGTACTCGCGGCCAATCCCAGGGAGAGCCAAACTCCCTAAATGTCCGAGCTGCCACATTCCCCAGTCAACACTCCTGGGGACCAGACCCCACCCCCCCCGCCCCCGCCTTGGCTGACAAGAGCAACTTCTGGTCTGCAATGGGACACACTAACCTTGCTGGGTGGAAACGAGGACTCCGTCCCCAGGGGAGCCATCAGCACCAGTTGTTCCAGAGCAGCCACCACGCCCGTGACCTCCTCTCCTCTCTCAGCCAAATCCGACAGAGCCTCTTCCCGGGTCTAGACCACCAAAGAGGAAACCAGGAAAATTCAGATTCCAGAAACAGTGTGACAGGCAAAGATTTACCAGGGTATCTTTCTAACAGGAGCAGAAGTTGAAATGGAACAAGACCCAAATGGGAAGAGTGAAGTAACAAAAATCTTCGGTCTTGGGGCTGGAGAGATAGCACAAGGAGTAGGGTGTTTGCCTTGCATGCGACCGACCCGGGTTCAATTCCCAGCATCCCATATGGTCCCCCGAGCACCACCAGGAGTCATTCCTGAGTGAAGAGCCAGGAGGAACCCCTGTGCATCGCTGGATATGTCCCAAAAAGCCAGAAAAAAAAAAACTCGAAACAAAATCTTTGGTCTTTCAGAGAAACAGAAGGCAGAAGAATCCACTCTTCAGAAAGGTTTTCTGGGGCCAGGAAGAGAGTGCAAAAGGCTGGAGCACATACGTTGCATGTGAGAGCCCTAGATTTCAGCCCGAGAACTATGCATGGGCCCCTGAACACCACCAGCAGCAAACCCCAGCACAAGCGGCCCTGCAGCACCACCAGCTGTGGCCACAAGAAGAAGAAAATAGGTATCATGCTAATAGCAATGTATTTTTTTCAACTTCCTCGGAAAAAAAAAATCCAGAACTGAATTTTCTGGTTCTTACAATGTCTAAGAGCACCCTCAAACAGGAAGCTGTGGGCGAGAACAGTATTACAGTGGTTAGGGTGTTTGCCTTGCATGTGGCCGACCTGGATTCAATTCCTGACACCCCAGAAGATCCCCCACGCACAACTAGGAGTGATTCCTGAGTGCAAAGGCAGGAGTAACCCCTGAGCATCGCTGGATGTGACCAAAAACAAACAAAAATACCCTAACCCAGAATGCAGGGTTTGACTGAGCCTCATCTCAACCTGAACAGCTCGACTTTTACACAGCTTTTCTGTTACTTAAAATGCTTCTGAATAAATTATTTGCACTACAAAATGAATTAAAAATGCACTGAACTTTGCCTGGGGAACTCAGGCTTCTGAGACAGAAATTACAGTACCAGTTTCACCTCTTAACAGTCTAATAGGGGTCCTCAAGCACAAAAAAGAAAAAAAGAAAAAGAAACCCCTGATTTCATTTCCTCACCTGTGAAAGACAGCTGTGTCTACCACACCAGGATACCATGCTTAAGATAAATAAAAACAGTGGCTTAGCATAGGGCCAGCCACATGCTGATCATCACTCAGCAAATGAAGAGTTTCATTTCTAATGTGTGGTAGAGATCACTAACTCTCAACCGGCAGCCTGGCAGAGAGCAGCAGCAGAATCAGCCTGGAGCTTGCTACAGCGCAACCCACTGAGACTGTCACCCAACCGCTAGGAACTTGGTGGCTCTCAAAGCTTAAGATCTCTGTTGTAGAAGATATGGAACGAAGGAATGCTACGCGCAGGTCTAATTCTTGCTGCTCTGATACCCTCAGCAGGACAGTAAAGCTGTGGGCAAACCGTAAAATGTGAGCAACCCTGTCGCTCAAAGAAAATCTTCTTAAAAGCCCAATTTCGCAGGTAGGGCGCCTGCCTTGCACCCGGCCAGCCAGGGTTCGATCTCTGGCACCTCCTGTACAACCTCCCCCCCATATACATACCCGTGATCCCTGAGCACAGAACTGGGAGTAAGCCCTGAGCACTGTAGGTGTGGCCCAGAAAAAAAAAAACATGACTTTTCCCAGATAACAAAAATGACTACCTTGCTTAGTCATTAACAAGGGCTGAGTCACTGCCCAGGTTCAACCTCCGACACTGCATGGTCCCTTGAACACCGCCATGAGCAACCCCCATTAGGCGCTCCTGTGCACTGTTGGGTGCGATTAAGGATCTTTTTCTGACTCTTGAAATGTGATGTCTTCCCCAAATTCCAAAAGATCTTTTGATAAAGATCAGAATGCTGCTTAGAATGCTTCCTTTCCATTTGAAAGATCAAAGGGAGGCCACCACCTCCAGCCCCACCCAAAAACATCTTTCAAACTTGGTCCTTTCAGCTCCAAATACACTCCAAACACTAGCAAAGTCAAGAGCAAACGGACTTTTTCTTCCCTTCCCGCTTCTCCCTTGGTGTCAGGATCAAACCCAGGGCCTCACACTTGCAGACATGCACTGGGCCGCCGAGCCACCTCCCTGAGCCCCCACGCAGCCCACACGTGGCACACGGTGCCTGTCCCCAGCACCGGCCCTCACCTTGAGCTCCTGAATGGCCGCCTCGATGAAGCAGGACTCGGGCGTGTGCTTCTCCTCGGCCAGCTGCCGCTCGAGGGCCACTTTCTCTTCCTGAACCACCCGGCGCAACACCTGCTCCTTCGAGGCCAGGAGCAATTTCGAGTACTGGCTGTGCTGCTCATCTACAAGGAAACAGACAGCATGACAGAAACACCACGCTCCAAGCTCCTGACTGGATGACTACAAAGAAACACACATGCGGTCTCTCTTCTAAGGCGAGGATGGAGTCATCTGACACGATCCCCTGGCAGTGATGGCCACAGGTTTAAAACTCTGACACCGAAAGTGCCCTGCTCAAATACATCTTTCTAGAGGCAGAAATTTAGCCTCTGGCAAGCTAGTATTTTGAAATGAGTAGCAGGCTAGAGTGGAGTTCACAGCGAGCAGTTTAGTACCTTTCGCGGTGGGGGGGGGGGGGGGAGCACTGGGCCATACCTGGCAGTGCTCAGCATCTAGGGGCCAGTCCCAGCAGCACTAGGGCACCATGCAATGCCAAGCCCTGACCCTGGGCCCCTGCGTGCAACGCCTAGTGTCAGCTAATTCTGCTCTCTCTAGCACCAACTCCTGATTTCAAGTTAACTCAGTTAACAGAGTTAATCTTTAATTTTTTTTTTTTTTAATTTTATCAGGTTATCCAGACGCATGGAGGAAGGGAAGAAGGGCTCTGTGCCCTCCATACTGTGCAGAAACAAGAACTTGGTGAAAGGGACATTTCACTCTCTGGGAAGAAAGAGACTGCTCAATAAATGGTATTTAAACAACTGGCTCTTCGGTTACTACCATGCGCCACTCATAAAAACCGATTCCAGGGCGAGATAGAAAAGGGAGTAAAACCCCGTTCAATCCCCTGCACTACGTATGGTCCCCCAAGACTCCTGAGCTCAGAGTCAGCAACAGCCCCTGAGCACCACTGGGTGCTGCACCCCCCCACCCCGCCAAAAATACAAATCCTTTAAAGATGAACCCAGGAAGGACACTTCACCTCCCAAACCAAGAGCTCACCTCCCAGATGAATGGGATGATCGACATTCATCCATTTGGATTTGGGCAAAGCCACCAACACCCCTTTCTCCCTCTTCATCAGCTGCATGGTGATGGTATCGCCGACGACATACTGCCGTGACTCTGTGGCAACAACACTGGAACATGGACATTTAGATGCAGCAAAGAATTAGCAGAGGGGGTCACCTCTAGTCAATTTCTCCATCTCACCTCTTGAGATCTTTCTTATGTACCGAACTGTAGCAGATGGGACATTTACTCCAAGTCTTCTCACTCAATGAGAGATAGTGCAAGATGCAGGCCCAGCAGAAGATGTGTCCACAACGGGTGATCTTGGCTGCAGTAGGTGGATATAGGCATATGGGGCAAGATGGCACTTCATGGCTACAAATGCGCTGCAACAGAAGACCGCAAGGTTCACTGCTTTCAGCACTGGCACGGGACTGGCAACGCTTCACCCCTCTACACCGCGACTCAACACATCAGAACTGTTCAACAACGTGGCTATGCAGAGGACAGAATTTTAGGAAAACAGAACCATGGTATAACAGAACCGGGGTGGGGGACAGGAGTGAAACCGGGGGCTTTGGTGGAGGGAAATGTACACTGGTGAAGGGAATGATGTAGAACTTTATATGACTATGACTAACACCCAATCAAGAACAACTCGGTAACGGTGTATCTCACTGTGATTCAATTTTGTAACAGCAACAACCAAAAAAAAAAAAAACAAAAAAAACCAAAAACAAACCACCATCTACAGGGTTGGAGGGATAGAACAGTGAGTAGGGTGCTTGTCTTGCACGTGGCTGACGTGGGTTCCCTGGCACCATATATGGTCTCCCAGAACACCATCCCTGAGCACCTCCGAGTGTGACCTAAACACACAAACTACAGAGCAGATATTTTTTATAGTTATTTTACCGAAGAGAAAAACATGGGTCAGGAAAAAAGAGAAAAGAGAAAAACATGTCCTTGTAAACTACAAGCTCGTGGGTTCTATTTCTGGTGCAAACACATACAGACCCTTCCCCCATCACGGGATGATCCCCTTAAGATACGTATGTGGGAGCGAAGGAGGGGGGTGGGGGAGAGGGAAGAAGGGGGGGAAGAGGCAAGGAAGGGAGAGAGGTCAAGGGAGAGAGAGAGAGATCACCCAGTGTACATATATGCACAAAGGCATAGAAAAAAATCTAGAAATAATTTGCCAGTAATATTTTGGGGTGGGGGCACGGAGGGGGTGGGCCATACCTGGAGATACTCAGGGGTTACTCCTGGCTCTGTACTCAGGAATTGTTCCTGGCAGTGCCAAGGGGGCCATATGGGATCTCAGGGACTAAACCCGGGTTGGTCATATGCAAGGCAAGTGTCCGACTTGCTGTACTATTGGTCTGGTCCATTTACCAGTAATTTCCTACTCAGTTTCAGTGGGTTTTGTGTTCCACTAATGCCCAGCAGCTTCTCCTCGGCCTCCCTTCTCAACTTAAGTATTTTCCACAGTAGAGGATTTGGGGGTCACCATTCTGAAACATGGCCTACGTCAGCCCTGGGAGCGAGAAAGGGAGACGCAGGAGATCTCGAGAGCCTAACTCCAACAGAACACAAGTGCAGCAGCGGGTCTGAGAAGGACAATGGGGTGGCTGTTCATCCGTCATGAGCTGAGGCCTAAATTAAAACTGACTCCCAATGGAGGCCTAAATTGAATACTGATTTTCCCTGGCTACCGTGGAACAGGCAGAGGTGGTAGGCAGGACGACTGCTTGTTCTGTTTTTGTACCACACCCAGCAGTGCTCAGGGGTCGCTCCTGACTCCGCACTGAAGAATTACACCTGGTGGTATTTGGGGGACCATAAGGGATGCTGGGGATCAAACGCAGGTCAGCCGCAAGCAAGGCAAATGCCCTGCTCACTGCTCTGGCCCAGGACGACTGCTTTTACCTTCTGGTTTCTTTTTTTTTTGTTTCTGGGACATACGCGACAATGCTCAAGGGTTACTCCTGGCAGTGAACTCAGGGATCACTCCTGGCAGGCTCAGGAGATCACATGGGGTGCCGGGGATCGAACCTGGGTCAGCTGCATGCAAGGCAAACGCCCTATCCACTGAACTATCGCTGCAGCCCCTGCTTTTTTATCTTCTGATCGATGTCCTCCAAACACCCCCATCCTGCAAGTCAGTGAGAGAGTGCACAAAATCAACTCCAGAAGAAACCAGAGAGGGAAATGCCCGCTTTCATGCAGAAAGGGTCCTGGCAGTGGAGGTGGCCAACAGCTACTGTGCCGACACGGCCCCTTGCTTCAGTACTCGCTCCCACAAAACTCACACGCTGAGCCCAGCTACTACTCACCACTTGTTCCACAAAGTCCCAGTTGACTAAGGTATCAGGATCAGCAAAATGATCTGTGTAGTCTTGGTCTTCAGACACCACAAACTGGCAGCTAGAATCAGGGAAAGAGACGAGAGAAAGGCTGGTTGTCAGAATCCAGCAAGTGCTCAACAGAAAAACCAAGAGCTTTTTTCACTTCGAAGTCAAGTTAGCCGTCTAGGTCTGTAAAACACAATCGGGACTTCTGCCGCAGAACTGAGTTCTGGCTCTGGAGGAAATCCAAAGGCTCAGCGGAGAGAAGACTAAATCCATTTGTGCTGCTTCCAAGCCCAACCAGCTGCCTCTCCTGATCTAAAATTAACTAATGGTGGCTTCATCAACCAGCAGGAAGTCAGATTTCCTCCCTCGACCCCAGAAACTCCAGAGCATGCCTTGTCTGAAAGGGAGCAGGGAAGTGAAAGGTCTTTCGCATCATCTGCGTTCCAAGGTATCCGACTACAAAACGGTTAATCTGACACGAGGTCAAGTCACACACTGAAAATGGGCAACAAAAGGTAATAGTTTTGAGCAAAAGTAAGTCAAGCTCTTCAACTTGTCATTCAATTCTCCCTAAGTAATCGTTCCCTTTTTTCCCCTGTGGGGGATGCTTGAGGCTGCTCTTGGGATCAAACCTATGGCTTCCACAGGCAAGCCTGTGCCCCACCCCTCTGAGCAATCTCCCTGGCACACCTATTTTCCTGTAGAGAGGAGAAACTGAAATCTCAAAAAGGGGCAGTTAAATTACCCCGGGCCAAAGCACAAAACATCACAAAATTTAGGGTCAATTTCAAAGCAAACACTTTTGTTACCTTATCAGGGTAACACAGCATTATTTAAATCCTTTTTCTTTTCCTTTTCCTTTTTTTTGGGGGGGGTTCCCTTAATCCCAAACTTTGGTTTTTCTTGGTTCCCAGGGATCAAACCCAGGGCTTTACACATATATAAGCTACCACTGAGACTGACCCAAGCATTCTCATCTCAAGCACCAAGTTCACTTAGTAAATGGGTTTTTAACACTCACGAAAGAAAAAAAATGAAAAAGAGAACCAGATTAACTCCCTGGCACCCCTCTACCACAGCATTTAAACGGCAGCCTCTGCTCGAGCCTGAGACACAGCACTGTGGGCAGGGCGCTTGCCAGGTTGAGTCCCATACCCCAAAGAGCCTCCCAAGCTGCGCCAGGAGTGACCCCCGAGCGGAGCGCCAGGAGTAAGCCTTGAGCATCACTGGGGATGGCCCCCAAACCAACAAAATTTTAAAAATGAAGGAAGCCTCTTTGTATTACAACTGCAAAAAGAAACTCAACTTCCGTTTCCCCCGAGGAGGCCTGTAAAAATACTCACTTGGCCTGTAAAAAGAGTTCCTTGTTAAAAGGCTTATGTCCCCACTTGTTCCTTTTCCCCCAGCTGCCGTGTCCACTGCCTTCAAAGTGACCTGCCTGGCCACGGGGTTCAAATGTGAAATTCAACAAGTGGTTCAGGTTGATCTTCTTAGGACCAGAGAACTGGGCAGGGCTAAACTCTGCCCGTTGAGCCTCTGCTACCTAGAGAAAACAAAGGAACGACTCAGATCATTTTGACAGTGATGGACAGCAGAGAACTGCACAACCCCTCCACCTACAGTGTTTACAACAGGAACGAAGACTGAATGGTTTGGGGCTGAAGGACAGTCCAGCGAGTAGGGCATTTGCCTTGCACACAGTCGACCCGGGCGCTATCTCTGGCATCCCAGGTCCTATCTCCGGCATCCTGTATGGTCGTCGAAGCCCTGCCAGGAGAAACTCCTGGGTGAATAGCAAGGAGTAACCCCTGAGCAGCACAAGATGTGGTTCAAAAAATTTAATTAGGAAACAACAACAACAACAAACGAAATGGCTTAAAGGCAGCCAATATCTAAGACAGAGCAATGCAATGGCATACAAAATCTGAACGGGGACAGAGAGGGAGAGAACCGCTCTGATGCCATGAGGCTGCTTAGCCTGCCCTGCCAAATGACAACATCAAGGATGAAAGCTGGCACGGACTCCTCTACACATCCTGATGCACAGATTTACCTACTGGATCCTTCTACAGGCCCGGGGACTCCCATCCCTTCACTCCTAGAAGTTACTTGTACTTGGCTCCTTTCTGACAATGGTAGTCTGCCAAAGTACAACGTGGAGGGGTTTCAGTCTTCAGGATTCACTCACTGCAGCTTATTAATTAAAACACACAGACAAATTGCTTGTTTCCAGGGCCAGGTACCAGAGGTAAGGTGTTTGCCTTGCAAGCAGTCAACCTGAGTTCAATCTCCAGCACAAGAAAAGGTCCTCGATCCTCCCAGGATGGGAGAAGCATGCTGAAAGTAGACGATAGACCAAACATGACTGCCACCCATTGCCTCTTTTGCAAACCACAACACCCAAAAGGAGAGAGAGAACAAAAGGGAATGCCCTGCCACAGAAGCAGGGTGGGATGGGGGAGATGGGGGGTGGGAGGGATACTGGGATCCGTGGTGGTGGGAAATGGGCACTGGTGGAGGGATGGGTATTTGATCATTGTATAATTGAAACCCAAGCACAAAAATTTGTAAGTCTGCAACTGTACCTCATGGTGTCTCACTAATAAAAAACAAATAAATAAATAAAAAGGTCCTCAGAGTCCTGAGCACCTTAATTGTGTCCCGAAAACAAATCCCATTGGCAGGTTCAGTTCAGACCACTGCAAGAAACTACAAGAAAAATATTCCAGCGTAGGATGCAGATTGCACAAAGCCTCCCCGCTCTCTGTAACAAAATAATGCTGTGATAAGCTTATTTGGGGACAGATCTTTGTGCCGTTCATTATTCCTTCTGTTTTTGGGTCACACCTGGCGATGCTCAGGGGTTACTGCTGGCTCTGTGTTCAGGAATTACTTCTGTAAGTAAGTGTTCCACACACGGGATGCCGGGGATAGAACCTGGGGCGGCTGCTACCTGCAGTCCTATAGCTCCAGCCCCTCATTATACCTTTTGAATGTATGGTAATAATTATTGGATATAAAAAAATGCAAATGTAAGGCTGTTCCTGCTTCACTGAGCTTAAGACATCAGTAAGCAGCGCTTGCAAAAAATGTGACAAAGCATCTAAAGAGTATAAAAAGGGCTATGGTAAAGATACTTTCTATTCCAGAGGCAATATATGCGCTGGGGTATTCTATTCGTAGAGCATCACGGAGCATTGCACTTATAATCAAACATGAACAGTGGCATGAATAGTGGCATTTCACATAATTTCCTTCCCTCTTTTGGGTTTGGTTTCCGGGTCAGAACCTGCAGCGCTCAGGTTTTCCTCTTCATTCTACACTCAGGGATCTCTTCTTGCAGAGCGCGGAGGACCAAATGATGTGCCAGAGATCGAACCTAGGTCAGCTGCAAGCAAGGCAAGCACCCTACCCACAGAACTATCTCTCCAGCCCTTTGATGGGCACCCTTTACTGAGGTACTGTTACTTAAAATACGATTCGATATGCCAAACACAGTAACAAGTCGCACAATGGAGACGTTACTGAGTCCGCTCGAGCAAACTGATGAACAACGGGAGGACCGTGCCACCATGCTACCATGACTGACAGTCTGACTCATACATCATCCCAGGGTAACACACTCCCACAAGAATACCGCTTCCCTCCACCCGGGTCCCAAGGCTCCTCTCGGCAAACTCAGTTCTGTGGAACAACTCTCCAATTCTGCTCCCTTGGCCATATCTCTAAGTCCCACACAGCAGAGACTCTTCTTTATGGCTCTCCAAGGAAAATTCTGAGGGAGCTCAGGGGGAGGAGGAAGGTCAAGCCCCACGCCCAGCTAAGCCTCGGCTGGAGCGCCGTGGCTGCCACCTCATGCTTCCCCACACCCCAGCCCCTGGCAGACGAGGGGGATGGTTCGTCTTTAAGAACAAAACAAGACTTGTTCCCGTGTCTTGCCACTAATCAGAACCAGGCCCCACGCACGCGAGGCCTGTGGCTTCAAGCACACCCTCAGCCCGAGGAAACGCGGTTCCGTTCCATACCTCATCTCGTCTTCCACCATTAAAAGAAGAGCTAAAGGGTTTGCTGCTGCCGCCGCCCCTCTGAGGAGGCGTCTTATTAAAAGTTTTGCTTTTCTGTGAACTGGAGCGACGGGACTGGTTGCTAAAGTTTTCATTTTTGGGATAGGAAGGTTCACGCTTGCGATTATAACGCTTGGATCCACTGGAGTTCTTTCCATCTGAAAGGAGGAAAGCAAAAACATTAGGAAAGGAATGGCAGTCACACTCAGCCAACTGTGCTCACTCCCTCCCAGACGGTGTTCAAAGCGGGAAAACACCACATTACCTCAACGACAGTAAAAATACCCAAGTCACAAAGGTGAACAGACCCTTCCGTCAGCACCGGGTGCTCTATGTGACCTATCTCGTGGCAAGGTGGGATTTCAGGGTTTTGTGTTGGGTGAAGCCTACGTGGTCCTTCCCTCCGGATAAAGACGCGACAGATCAAATCACTCAGATTCTCAGTTCACATTTCTCTTTAGCAGAGCTTAACACACCACTCCTGAAAAAGCCACGAGGCTGAAGAGACAGTACGGGGAAGAGTCGAGCACTAGAGTTGCATGAGGCCGACCCGAGCCCGATCCCCAGCACCGCTATGTTCTCTCAGCGCCTCCAGAAGGGATCCCCGAGCCAAGAGCCAGCAGTGAGTCCTGACGAACACCAGGCACGACCCAAACACACCCCCCTCAAAAAAAAATCCAAGTGAATGAAACTAGAGAATATCTTGCAAAGTGAAGTAATCAGAAGAAGATAAATGCCAAGGGATCTCGCTTATCTGTAGCATGTAAGATAACAGGACAAGGAAATACAAGGTATCAATGGGGATACCGCCATTACCCTTGGCCCTATTTAGAGAAATGAGAAGGACGGAGAACTCAAGAAGGCAAAGAAGAAAAGGCCGCAGGAGGCGACAGGTGCAGGGGACGGGGGCCTTGAGCACACTGGCTGGTGTCCAGGTGTGATACAGGGACATATTTAAACCACAGAGCCAACAATACTGTAACTAGGAGATCTGAACTACAATGACCAACCTTAAAAAACGTGCCAGGCTGAGGGGCGGAGGAGGTGGGAACCTCGGGACACTGGTGGAAGGAAACTGACAGTGGTGGTGGGATTGGTATTGAAACGTGTGCTTAAAATTCTATCACGAATAACTTTGAAGATCACAGTACACTAGCACTGCGCTGTAGCACTGTCCTCCTGTTATCCATCGATTTGCTTGAGTGGGCCCAGTAACGTCTCCACTGTGAGACTTGCTGTTGCTGTTTTTGGCATATTGAATACGTCACAGGTAGCTTGCCAGGCTCTGCCTTGCGGGCGAGATACTCTCGGTAGCTTGCCGGGCTCTCCCGAGAGGGGCGGAGGAATCAAACCCGGCTCTGCAGGGCCGGCCTCGCACAAGGCAAACGCCCTACCTGCTGTGCTATCGCTCCAGCCCAGCATGGTACACTAATAAAATTAAAATTTAAAAAAAAAAGGTCCCCTGAGCACCGCCAGGAGTAATTCCTGAGTGCATGAGCCAGGAGTAACCCCTGTGCATCGCCAGGTGTGACCCAAAAAAAAAGGAAAAAAAAACTTTTTACAAAAAGTTATCAAAGAATCACATGACTATAAACAAAGGAGGCTCCCAAATTAGTCTCTGAATAACAACTAAAAAATCCGTAATTCAGTTCCTTTCCCTTTCACTCTAAACTGTCTTACTGTAGGGGCTGGTTAGTACAGTTGGTGGGAGCCTGTGCACACGGCTGACTCAGGTTCAATTCCTGGCATTCCATATGGTCCCCTGAGCACCACCAGGTTGAGTGCAGAGCCAGGAGTAACCCCTAAGCATTGCTGGGAGTCACCCCAAACCCAAAACAAGAAAGAAAAGATTCCAGAAGCTTTTCTTTGAGGTACTTTAATGAAGGAGCTCATTGGGTTTCCCCTCAAGTTTTAAGACTGGAGTCCAGACTTATACAGTCAAGAGTCTCGTGATGAGTCTCAGAGCCTCCAAGTGTAGTTCTCCCTCCCAAACAGATCTTGATCCTGTTTAGACTGACACATAACTGGGCTGCAGAGACAGTACAGGGGTTAAGGCACTTGACTTGCAAGACCCTGATTCAATACCCAGCATCACACCTGGTCATTGCCAGGGGTGATCCCTGAGCACTGCTGGGTTGGTATTGCGCCCCACTCCCCAGTCTCTGCCCCCCACCTTGTCCCAAGAACATAATTAAGGGACAATAAAGAGGTTGAGGTTCTCAGTTGCAAGGGTTCCCACCTCCAGCAGAAACAAACCTAAAGGAGCAAGGGGTAGCCCCAAACAATTCCCCTCCCAAAAGAATATGTAATAAAAACATGTCTGAAAAATGCAACACACGGGCTCTATCAATGGCCATTGTGTTCAGGAAACTGAGTAGTTAACTTTTATCTAAATACTGTTATTTACAACCCTGTCTTTGGAAGAAATCGGCCACGTGAGTGTTTTGGGGGTCTTTTGTTTTGGGCCATGTCTGGCTGTGCTCAGGGATGACTCCTTGTGGGCTCAGGAGACCGTATGTGGTGCTGGGGATCAAACCCGGGTCCGCCGGGAGCAAAGCACGCGCCTAACTAGCTCTACTATCTCTCCACCCCCCAGATGTTTTTGTTTGGGGCTAAGGGGGAACACCCAGCGCTGCTCAGGGCTTCCTCCTGGCTCTGCACTCAGGAAATTACTCTGGAGGTGCTCAGGCAACCCTACGGGATGCCAGGGATCAAACCCGGGTCAGCTGCATGCAAGGCAAGTGCCCTGCCCACTGTACAATCATTCCATCCCCCAGATGAGCTTTTAAGGAATTCCTGCACTCAGGCCTCATCACCTAAGGTTCTGACTTGAATGGACAGAGTCACAGTTCCATATGCACATGAAGCAGGTCCAGGGTGCGGGGGAACAGTGGGGATCACAATCAGCGGTGCCCAAGGCTTACTCCGGTCTTTGTGCTCTGAGGTCATCGGGGCAATGCTCCGGGGATATGGTGCTGGGGATTTACCCATCATTGGATGCAAGCAAGACTCTGTACTCTCTCTTCAGCCCTCAGTACATCTTTACAGAAGTTAGTTCTACGTACTTAGAAGGATGCATTTCTTCTAGGTACTTAGAACTTATTTATAGCAGATTAAATAAATTCAAGAGAAGTTGAATTTTCAGAGGAAAAAAAAATCCAAGCTTAAGTTTAAAAAGCCCTAATTTGAGATTTGTTGTGGGTTTTCTGTTGTTGTTGCTGTTATTTCATATTTGTTTCTGGGCCATACCCAGTGATACTCAAGGATGACTCCTGGCTTTATCCTCAGGAATCACTACTGATGGTGCATATGGTACCAACCATATGGGATGCCAGGGATTGAACCTGGGTTCAACATGTGAAAGTAAATGTACTATTGCTCCAGCTCCTACATACAAACTGTGAAAGCAACCACCTCACATTCAGCGTCTAACCCACAGGATAAATGAGTCCATCATCATCTCCAGTTCTGCCCAACTACATACAACCTCCGAGTCTGGCAGACGCGGTCCAGCAAGAGTATAAACACGACCACCCTAATGGTCACAGAAGCACGTCAAGCTATAATCAGTCACCTTCAACTTTCACTCAGGGACTTTTCCCTCTCTGGAGAAGCTCTTGTGTTCTTTTTTTGTTTGGGGGCCACACCCAGCAATGCTCAGAACTAAAACTGAGGGACAAGAAGAGGAGACTGGGAAGGAACTTGAGGCAGGGGTCAAAGGGCTCTGTGACATCAGTGGTGTAGGGAAAGGGTGGGCCTACATACCCAAGCTGCACAGTCAACAACAGAACAAGCAGGAGATCCAAACCACAACAACCCAACTTTAGAATGTTCCTGTTGAAGAGAAAGCTGATGGGGGAGGGGGGGTCAGGACCCGGGGACACTGCTGGAGGGAAGTTGACACGGGGTTGGGGGGTGGGGAGGAGGGTGCTAGAATATAGTATGCCTAAAACTCAACTATGAACAGCTTTGTAAATCAATGTCTTAAGCTTTTTCTTTTTTCATTTTTATTTCTTTTTTATTTATTTTTGCTTTTTGGGTCACACCCGGCGATGCACAGGGGTTCCTCCTGGCTCTGCACTCAGGAGTTACTCCTGGCGGTGCTCAGGGGACCATATGGGATGCTGGGAATCGAACCCGGGTCGGCTGCGTGCAAGGCAAACGCCCTACCCGCTGTGCTATCACTCCAGCCCCTTTTTTCTTTTTTTAAAGAAGCTCCTTCTTCTATTTAAAAGAACAATTGGGTAATAATTTGAAACTGCAGATGGCACACACATTTTGCCAGACCCTGCAACCCATGAAATTGGTTTATAGTAAGATTTCAATAAACGGAAAATTCAGAGGAATACAGAATTCCAGTTAACATATACCACCTAATGGTCTGGGTCGATTTAGGTGAAGACAGAGTCTACACTTCAAGCCTCATGGCAGGAAGCCTCTCCTGGGAGCTGGGGAGTGACAGCAGCCTGCGTGCTGATGGAGGCTGTTTCCCCCACTTCACGGATTATCACACAGGCAAGGAAACGGTTTCCTAAGCGTACAGGAACTGCTTCCTTCTTGCCCCACTCCTGCCAGGGCTCAGGGTTTGAGCCTGCTAGTGCTGGGGCCTAAACAGCGGTTGGCCACAGGCAAGTCAAGAACCTTAACTCCAGCATTATCTGTTGCAGCCCAGTGACATGCTTGTTTATAGACTCCGTCATGATTTATGATTTTAGGTGCTCAAAATCAATTTCCGCTGGTTTCCCAGTGTCCTCTGGGCAGCCGGCAGACATCTGAGGGGCAGCTCTTATCACAAGGAGCAGGCTGCAGGCTCAGCTCGAGGCTCAAGGCAGGGTGGAGGCTGGAGCCCAGAGATATGCTTCAGAGTACTGTGTTTGTTTTTATTTTGTTGCCCCGCCCCGCAGTGCTCAGGGGCTACCCCAGGCTTGGGGGTCAGTCCTTGCAGTGCTAGAGGTCGGCAGAACCAAAGCACATGATGTCGGGGACTGAGCCCAGGCCTCCAGGGCGCAAAGCAAAGGCTCAGAGCTTTGAGCCTCTTGCCCCACCCCAGAATACTATTTCTGAGCTATTTACAGACAACTTGCTAGGATATACAAGTCGCTGGAAGGCAGAATTTTGTCTTTACTAACATGACAGAGAGGATGAGATCATCTACTTTAGATGCTGAAAATCAAACAGAACAAACAAGTTCCTGGAGTGCTCCAAGTTTTGAGTCTCAGAGTCAGGGAGGTAGCTCAGTGGACCAGCACGTCTGCAGGAGGCCTGTGTTGGACCCCAGGTACCACAAGTCTCCCGAGCATCGCTGGGAGTGACCCACCAAGCAACATACCAGGAGTAGGTGCTGAGCACCACTGATGTGGCTCAAAAACAAGCAGAGACTTTTCAATGGAGCATACTGGTTCTCGATCCTAATTATAAACAGGATCACTTGTAGAAACTTTTAAAATTATAGGTTCCAGGAAGGAAAGACAAAGTGCAGACCACTCATTCCTATTTGGGGAAGGAGAAAAATAGTCCTCTGGAGATTTTGATGTACAGACAGAGCTGAGAACAGGTGCCCAGAACTCTCCAAACACATGCCAAACTGAACAGACAAGACCACGAGAGTTAGGCAGCTGACAGGGTCCCAGAGTCAACAGTGAAAAGACTTGAAAACTCGATCTAGTGTCTCGATTGTTCCATTAACTTCGAGATAAAAGTCTCCACCAAACAGCAAACACTACCTTGGTCTCTAACAGCCCACTACCAAATTAAAGGCCAGACATTTTTTCAGTTAAACGATTTGGCATCGTGTGTTTGGCTCTCAATCTAACAAACAGGTGGCACAGCCTGAGGGCAGAATACCAGCCAGGAAGTTTCAACTGCTGACTCATGCTATAATCTCGATGCTGTGAGCAAGCTGCTCACCCCTCGTCTGGAGTGGTCGACAAGCACCTCCAGAGGGGCAACAGAGGCCTTGCTACAGGACCAGCTGACACTCAACTGACTCCCGCTGAAATTAGTAATTCTGAATGAAAGGAGGAGAGAGGTGCTAGCAGGAATGACCACAGTTACCTAGATGTAAGTGAATTCATACAAGACACATTTGTAAATACTGCCGTAGGACCGACTTCTTAAGAATAAACTTGGACAGGGGCTGGAGCGGTAGCACAGCGGGTAGGGCGTTTGCCTTGCACGCAGTCAATTCGGGTTCTAGTCCCAGCATCCCATATGCCCCCCGCCCCAGCACTGCCAGGAGTAAGTCCTGAGCATCGCTGGGTGTGACCCAAAAAGAAAAAGCTTGGACTATTCCTCTGAATCTGTTTTCTTGTGTCCATCCTCCCTCCTTAAAGGGTTATGAAAATTAAAACTTGTAAATGCCTACCACAACAGTCAGCACACAGCTAATATTATTTGAAAGTCTATTAATAAGGCCAAATTATTCCTGTCAAAAGCACATCCTAGACTTCCAACAAAGTCATCTAATCAAAAACTCTAGCCAACAGGCCCTGAGATTCTTGTAACATCTCAAAGTGATTTTTTTTTTGATGGAGCTAAAGGCATGGTTTTATTTTTTTCCAGTCTTTTTTTAAAAAAATGTTTAATTTTTATTAGTGAGACACCATGAGGTACAGTTGCAGAACTTACAAATTTTTGTGCTTGGGTTTCACTGGTGACTTCATATCACCACCATTTTCAAAGCAACCAAAGCCTCCAGGGCCATCTACAGTTCGAGACAATCTCAAGGGAGATTACCTGACTTCTGAAATCAGAGTAACAGGAAGAGTGTCAAGACAGGACTTCATATCGCCAACCTCAAAATAACCACTTCCTAATACGTGACCTTCCCTTACCTTCCTGGCAGCACCATCCCCCACCAAGATGGGGCAAGAGCTGGTGCCAGGCCAGGGGACACAGTTTGCTCATCCACTGTCTAATCTCATGCTTTTCACTCTCACCCGCCTCTCCTCATGGGATTCCTGGAAGATTCACTGTTCTTCAAACTGCACCTCAGCCCTACTGAAAGGAAGCAATAGGAATAAATCCAAGAAAAGGAATGTTAATATGCTCGAGGCAGTTAGTCAGGGCAAAGAAACTGGTAATGCCACGCTGGCCAAAAAGATCGAGAAAATCCCAGTCGCCAAATAGATCTACCTACTTCCTGTGTACATGAAAGGCGCTGAAAGCTAGCCATAGGAACAAAGACTCAAGCATACTCATCATGGGTGACATGCCTGATTTATTTCCTATTTTTTCCATTTACAAGCCACACCCAGTGAGGTTCAGAGCATACTCCTGGCTCTGAGATCAGGGATTACGCCTGGCCGGGCTCAGGGAACCATATGGGATGCAGGGGATCAAACCCAGGTTGGCCACATACAAGGCAAACGCCACTCCACTATCTCTCTGGCCCCTATAGCCTGCATGATCGAGACCATAATAACCATTTTCTGACTGTGGCCTCTTTTGGACCTGTTTCCCTTCCTGTGCCTCGTCCCCTGCCCACCCACCATTCTGTTTCGTTTTGTTTTGGGGCCACACCTGGCCATGCTCAGGGGTTACTCCTGACAGGCTTAGAGGACTAAGAGATGCTGGGGACTGAAACCAGGTCAGCCATGTGTAAGACACCCCACCCTCGACATTCTACCGATCAAATGAATATCCAGGCCTGTTGCTCATCATTTACATGACTTTCATCTGAAGCTCCATGGAACATGCTTCAGAGAATAGTAATCAGAAGGGGTTTTCTGATGTGAGACAGAAAAGGAGATGCAAGGTTTAAAAACTAGGGCCAGAGACTAGATTAGTACCAGGAATTTTATTCCATGGCTTGGAGGCCAGCCACAAATACTAGGGGAAAAGGGGGCTCAGACAGAGAAGGGAGCACCAAATAAAGGGTGTTGGGAGGGTCCTCCCAGGATGGGAGAAGCATGCTGAAAGTAGACTATAGATCAGACAGGATTGCCACCCACTGCCTCTTTTGCAAACCACAACACCCAATAGGAGAGAGAGAACAAAAGGGAATGCCCTGCCACAGAGGCAGGGTGGGATGGGGGGTGGGAGGGATACTGGGATCCGTGGTGGTGGGAAATGGGCACTGGTGGAGGGATGGGTATTTGATCATATATAATTGAAACCCAAGCACAAAAAAATTGTAAGTCTACAAATGTACCTCATGGTGTCTCACTAATAAAAATTTAAAATAAAAAAAAATAAAAACTAGGGCCAGAGAGAGTAGAGCGAGTAGGTGTTTGCCTTGTTTGCGGCTGACTCGTTTGTTTCCTGGGACAGCATATTCCCGCCAGGAGTGACCCCAGAGCACAGAGCAGTTCCTGAGCACCTCCAGTGTGACTCTAACAATTACTTATTTTTTAAAAGAAAGGCCTCCTGCATCTTTAATGAATCAGTGCTGTTGGTCAAGTAAACAGGAACAAATATAAACAAATGGACAATATTAAATCAAGAAGTTTCTGCATCTCTAAGAAAACAATGACCAAAATCCAAAAATACTCCACAGACTGGGGGAAAATATTTGCTCACCACTCATTTGATAAAGGGTTAATTTCTTTTTTTTCCCTAATAATTTTTTAAATGAAAATCCTCCCAATTACTTTGACAAAAGGCAGGTATGGGGGCTGGCGCGATAGCACAGCGGGTAGAGCGTTTGCCTTGCACGCGGTCCACGTGGTCGACCCGGGTTCAATTCCCAGCATCCCATATGGTCCCCGAGCACTGCCAGGACTAATTCCTGGGTGCAGGGCCAGGAGTTAACCCCTGTGCTTTGCCAGGTGTGACCAAAAAGCAAATAAATAAATAAATAAAGGCAGGTATGTTTTCCCTTACCCTTCATGATCAACTGAGATGCTCTCAACAATTTCCCATGACTCCAGAGTTTATTTAGTTCGGAATACTACAGAGAGAAGTACTCTGAATTTGAGTCTACGCCCTTGTTAGAGTAAAATCACTGAATGGGAGGTCCCGAATGCTATCTCAGTGTACGTAGCTTACCAGCCATGTCTGTTTTGTTGTGTTTGGGGTGGGGGGAGGAGGGGAAGTGAAGCCACACCCGGCAGTTCTCAGCTACTCCTGCTTGGGGGCTCCAAAGTTCAAAGCATGTGCCCCCCTCCTTGGAGTTCTCCCTCCAGCACCAGTTACCATGGTATTAGGTTATCTTTGCAATCCTTGGTTTAACCTCAAAACCTAGCCAATATCAAAGTTTCCTAAGCGTTTTTTTTAAAGTTTCTGTTTTGGGGCCACACCTGGAAGTGCCCAGCGCTTCCTCCCGGCTCTGCACCCAGGGATCAGTCTTGGTGGACTCGGGACCATATGGGCTGCTGGGGATTGAACCCAACGAGGCCAAATGCAAGGCAAGGGCTCTGCCCACTGTACCATCTCTCCAGCCCTAACCTAGTTCTCCTCTCTTCCTACTCTGAACTTGCTCCTACAGGCAAGCAGTGGATTATTTTGGCCATGAAAACCCTACTACAGCAGGTCAGGCTCTTGGCTTGCATGTGGCTATCCCCCCTTAATTCCGCCACACTGCTTACTGTTCCCCCAGCACCACAAGTGTCACTCCTGAGCACAGAATCGGGAACAGTGCCCTCTGGAATCGCCACCCTGCCAGGTATGGCCCAACACCATCCTGCCCCAAATCATAACTACGAGCCAGGGATGCGGCTCGATATAGCAGCTGCCTTGTATGTGTGGGGCCTGGGTGCTAGCACTGCCAAGAAAAAATTCGTAATAATCACAGGTAAGGCCAGGGACGTGGCCCAATGGTAGAACACATTCTTTAAATGTGTTAAGTTCTGGGGTTCCTCAAGCCCCAGCACCAAAAAGAAAACATTAGTCAGAATGAACCCAACAATTACTTAATTACCAGTATGAAACAGGTGAAGTTTGAAACAAGAACAGCAACAAGTAATGACTTTAATCATTTCGACATAATTCTGTATCAATCTGTCAGGTGATCAGAGCTCTACTGATGATCATATTCAATGTCAAGAAAAATGAGCAAAACCTCTTAAATCGAGATATTTAAAGTATTTTACTCACAGTTTTAGTTTTGTTTAAGTTTTCTCAAACTTTCACTTATTGCTCACTAAGGGTCAGGCTACCTGAGTCTGATCCCCAGTATCCCATATGGTCTCCCTAGCACCTCTAGGAGTAATTCCTGAGTGCAGAGCCAGGAGTAACCCCTGAGCATTGCCGGATGTGGCCCCAAAACAAATGCAAACCAAAGGGAAAAAAAGTATTTACTAGAGCTAATTCATGATTGTACATTAATGGCTTAAACAGGAACCTTGAAAATTTAGCTAGGGATTCAGATAACTGGACTCAAAATCCTTAACTTTATGCCTGCATGGAGAGCAAAAGTTAATGTTGCTTATTAACTGCAATGAGAAATATTCAGAACCCCTGAAACCAGTGCTAACCCCCACCAAGAGGGCTGGCTACCTAGAACTCTAGAGGGATCTGTAACAAAAGTCACACACGTATAAAATCCCCAAATCAATTTTCTGACAGGAGTTCTGGGCCATACCAGGCTGGGCCATCTCAGGGTTTACTCCGGGCCCTGCCCTCCGGAACCACTCCGAGTGGTGCTCAGAGGACCACAGGGCTGGGACTGAGCAAGGCAAGCGCCCTACCCGCTGCACCATCTCTCCAAAATGAGTTTCTAAGCTGCTGCGCTGAGGTGGCCTGAGAGGCACTCCTCGCCCTGGCTTGTTTATTTTAAAGCAGTATTACCAACACAACTTCTCTCCACCTGAGTTCCTCAAGAACTGGCACACCCAGTAAACACAAGTTTGCCACATCTTGCAAACTCTGAACTCCAATCAGCCGAACAGCCTCCCCCACCTTAATTAGTCTTTCCAGTTTTGTTTTTTTATTTTTGCTTTTTGGATCACAACCAGCGAGGCACAGGGGTTACTCCTGGCTCTGTGCTCAGGAATTACTCCTGGCAGTGCTCAGGGGACCCTATGGGATGCAGAGGATTGAGCCCGGGTTGGTTGCGTGCAGGGCAAACGCCCTACCCGCTGTGCTGTTGCTCCAGCCCCAGTCCTTCCAGTTTTAAGTCTTAAAAAGTTTCGAACACCCTTCTCTTCCTTTGGGAGCCCCGAATGTTCCCCTCGCACCCACAATCACACTGCCACCAAAAAAAAAGACCTTCCCCACGACTACTGACACGATCAAGGTCCAAAGGGAGCTGAGGCTAGCCCACGGGCCTTCCACAGCGACAACTTCAGCTGAGACTCTGCCCACTAACCTGCTCCCTCTACTCACTCCTTGGCAGACATAAGCACTTCCGGGCGGGGGACAGGTGACCGCCTCGCCCAGGCCCTGGACCAGTACCGAAAAGGCCACCGAGAGGCGGGACTGCAGTCGCGCCTAATCTTCCCTGGAAAAAGACACTCCCGGAGTCCAAGACCAGGAAAACAGGCGTGATGTGCCCCTGGTGCAACGGGCCGCGGCAGCCGCCCAAGCGGCCGTCTCTGAACCTGCGTCCTGTCCACCTTTACAGCCAAAGACAAACTGGCAACGGGAAAAGAAAGAGGCCAGGACACTCGAGGGCTTCGAGATGCGCCAAGACGGGCTCCCCTCCGCCCCGGGCGTCCGGCCAGGGGCGGGAGGGGCGGCTCTGGGGCAGCCCGAGCCCTCGGCGGCTCGAGTCCTGGGGCTGGAAGCCCGACAGCACCCGGCTGGGACGACGCCACGTTCCGGAGAGGGGAGCCCGGACCCTGAGCCGGGAGAGCGAGGGGTCGGCGCCTCGGGCCGACGCCCGGCTGCCGGGTCCCCGGAGCGCCCCGCCCGCGCCCGCGCCCCCCGCTCACCGCTCTTGGGCTTAGACTCGCCCGCCGGCCCGGCCGAGGCGGAGCGGGGCGGCGGCGGCCCCTTGCCGCTGCCCGACGAGGCGGAGGCGCCGCCCGAGCCGCTGCTCCTGTCCATGTCGGCGGCGGTGGCGGCGGCGCTGGGCGCGCTCAGCGGCATCAACGGGGGCCTCGGCGGCGGCGGCGGTCGGAGCGGAGCGGGCGCGGCGGGGACCCAGGCTCATGGCGTTCGGGGCCGGCGGCGGGCGGCGGCGGCGGCGGTTCTCGGCCCTCATGGCGACATCTTCCCGACTTCCTTCCTCGGCTTCGCGGACGGGGGCGGAGAGGCGGCGGCGGCGGCGGGTGGAGGCCGCGCTCGGGCGTCCGGGCCGGGCCTGGCGGGGCGGCGGCTGCGGGCGCGGGGCTGCAGCGAGCGAGGGTGCGCGAGCCCCGCCGGCCGGCCGGACACGCTCTCCCGCCGCGGGGCAGGGGAGCGGGCTGGCTGTCTCGGCGTCGGACCGCGGTCTGCGACTCGGCGACCGGCGCTCGCCGCTGGGCCGAGGCCGAGCTGCTCCGGGAATGGCGACGAGTCGCCAAACAGCGTCTCCGGGAACCCGGATGGACCTTATATAGTGCGGGCCCGGGCGCGGGGCCTTCTGGGAGACGTAGTCTTCCGCCACATCCGGGTCCGGCCATGGCCGCCCGCCCCGCCGCTGCCAGGGGAGTGGAGCACGATGGGACTTGTAGTCCGGGCTTTGGCCTGAGGCCTGCAAACCCTTCTGAGAACGGATTATTTACGGAGGCACCCAAACACCGGAATGCCGTAGAACTCCTTTGCTGTCGTCAACCTGCTAGTCTAGTATTCATTTAGTATGACTTAGTATTAACTGTTGGGGATGTTATTCTCCTAAAACAGTGACTACCATACTTTGTATATAATATCATTATTTCATAAATAATTTAAGTAATTATTTCATAAGTAATTTAAGTAACTGTAGCACTGTAGCACTGTCCTCCCATTGTTCATTGATTTGCTCCAGTGGGCCCAATAACATTGTGAGACTTGTTACTGTGTTTGGCATATCTAATAGTCAGGGTAGCTTGCCAGGCTTCACCCTGCGGACAAGAAACTCTCAGTAGCTTGCCGGCTCTGCGAGAGGGGCGGAGGAATCGAACTCAGGATGTCCTGGTCGGCCGCGTGCAAGGCAAACGTCCTACCCGCTGTGCTATCCCTCCAGCCCCATTTAAGTAAAATTTTGGTAATATTTTATTTGATTTTGCTGAGCACAAAGGATGCCCAAACATGCTAATATTGAGGCCTTTAAAAAGAAAAAAAAAGATTGAGGTGTTTTGGGGCATGGAAATAGCCCTAAATCTAGAACATACATGCTTTGCATATGGGGGCCCCAGCTTTATCCTCTGCACCACATGGCCCCCCCAAGCACCAAACTGAGAGTAGCCCCTGAGTACTGCCTGTGCTGTAACCTAAAAGCAAAACAGAACTAAAACAATTCTCAGCACATGCACACCTAACAGCCACATATAAATTATAACAGAAGAATGTAAAAAGGGCAATGATACAATTAACATAAAATGATTGCCAGAGGGGCCAGAGAGGTAGTGCAGAGATAAAGACACTTACTTTGCATGTGCCCAACCCTGGTTCAAATCGTGTGTACCACATATGGTCCCTGGGGTCACTCCAGAGCAAAGCCAGGAATAGCTCCTCAGCACTGCTCTGTACACCCCACCCCCAACAAAAATTACTGGCTAAAACAGAAGTTAAAAGAGAAAAACTGGGAGGAGTAGAGGAAGGATTCCCGGAAGTAGTGTGACTTGAGTTGAACATTGAAGAATGAGTGGAATCTCCACACGTTAGAAGAAACGAATAGATAAATTCCCAGCATTTACGCAAGGGAGGTTGGTCAAAAGACGGAAGCGCTTTGCATGCAGGAGCCCCAGGTTCCGTGGCATCCATAAGGACCCTCAAGCATCACTGGAAGTGACCCCCTCCATACAAAAAAAAAGTCCTAGAATTCTCCAATTTGGGGCCTTTTTGGAGTCTCTGAAGTACTGCCGGGAGACATCAAAACCAGCAGAGTTTAAGTAAAGATCACCAGAACCGAGACTACACGTAGATCATCAGTTGGAAGGAATTTGCCTTGCATGTGCAAAGTCCTCATTTCAGTCCGTGACACTGGCTGGAGAGATAACAGTAAGGGTTGGAAACGGGCCCCCACCCAACACTCAGCACCTAACAGAAATAACCCTTAGCCCCTACCCCTTCAGCTCCCCCCCCAACACACCCAAGTAAACAAAGGCTTGCTAATAACCACATCAGTTTTTCTGACTCAGAGTCAGAGCAGATAGCGAAATGGGTTGAAGCACATGATTTTCACGCGGGAGACTCCGGTCATTCATTCCGTATTCTCCCAGGCCGGCGGGTTCGACTCCCAGCATCCCATATGGTCTCCCGAGCACCGCCAGGAGTAATTCCTGAGTGCAGAGCCAGGAGGAACCCCTGAGCATTGCCGTGTGTGACCCACTGCCAAAAAAAAAAAAAAAAAAAAACCAGAGTTACTGATTCCAAATCTCTGGCATTTGAAGCGCCTAGGGTTCTGTATTTTAAAGACCAAACCAGGCGCTTCTTAAGCACACCAATGCAGAGAGAATAGACCCTTTAACCTCGGCCGTTCACCACCCGTCTCTCAGCTCTCCCTGCCTACTCTAGAAAACAAGTTACTCCATATCTGCGAGTCAGAACTCTGCAGGAATCCCAGAACATAGCTACTGAGAGGTGACTGGGGTCACTCCTGGGGGCTCGGGGGAGGGGGAAGGCACACCTGAAGGTGCTCAGGCCCTACCAGCGGGCTCTGTGCTCAAGGATCACACCTGGAAGTGCTGGGGGAAGCACCTGGGGTGCTGGGATTAAGCCGGGTTGAGCGTTTTGAGCGCTGTACTACCGCCCTGACCACCCCGGTGACGTCGATAGTCAATCTGGGAACAGAAGGAAATTCGGCTCTTCGTGGGCGATCCTTCGAAGAGCCGAATTTCCTTCTGTTCCCACATTGACTATCGACGTAAGCTGCGGGAACCGCTCATTCAGAGGCGGTTTGCGTTCGACTAATGCTGACTCCTGCCGGCCGCCGTCGCCCGGCTAATGCGGCTGCGCGCGGCTCGCCCGGGCCGTCGCCCTCCGCCAAGATGGCGGCGCCCAGCGTCTGGGCTCTTCGGGGCTGCCCCGGCCGGGAGTGGTCGCGGCTGGTGCGGGGCTGCGCGTGCCCCCGGCTGGGCGGCGCCCGGCCCGGGGGCCCCCTGGGAGCGCGGCTCCTGTCCCGAGAGGCGCGGACGGCGGAGACCCACTTCGGGTTCGAGACGGTGTCGGAGCAGGAGAAGGGGGACAAAGGTGAGGGGCGGGCGGCGGCGGCGCGGGGACCGGCCTCCGCCCCGTGTCCTTGGCCCGCGGGAGCGTGGACTTACGGTCCGCGCTGCGATGCCGCGGCCAGAGCACCCCGCCTCCCGCGGCCACCCGCGCCCGGCCCGACCCCCAGGGACTGCGCGCGCGGCCACCGTCGCTGGGTCCCGTCGCCTGAGGGTCCCGGAGGTGCCGGGAGCCTCCGGCGCTCCTCCCCGTCCTCGTTTCGGCGTCGTCGCAGGGACCATTGCTCTCCCGAGTCACGCAGCAGGAAGTCGAGATCTTTCTGAGCATTTTCCAAACGCTTTTGAAAGTCTTCCACGTACTTTGCTTTTTTGGGCCGCCCCGGCGGGGCTCCGGGTTATTCCTGGCTCTGCAGTCATTCGGCGGGATTCTCAGGAATCACCCCCAGCGGTGCTCGGGGCCCCTGTGGGATGCCAAAGCTGAACGCAGGCAAACCGCCCTCCCTGCTGACTTACCACTTCGGCCCCAGACACCGAAATTCGAAGGTTAAGAAGGGGCGGGTGATGTGGGCTTGTGCATGTGTGAGCATCTGAGTTAGAGCCGGCTGCTGACAGTGAATTAAAGTTTTGAAACAAAGGTTAAGGGGCTGGAGATTGAGTAGAGGGGTTCACTGGCTTGCCTTGCGTGGGACCCACTCCAATTAGATCTCCCCACCACGTGGTCCCCCTGCACCACAAGGAGTGACCCAACCTACCCCGGAAAAACTTCTTAACTTGCCAAATTTAACATAGCCAACAGATGAAGAAATTAACATTCTAATTTGATTTGTTTTTTGGGGCTTGGGGCCACACCCAGCAGTGCTCACGCGCTGTTCCCAGCTAGGTGCTTGAGGTCCGGGTCAGTCCTCTGTCCTCTGGGCCATTTGGTGCTGGGGATGAACCCAGGCTTTCCATGTGCTAGGTACGAACTTTCCCACCCAGCCACATCTGGACCTGAGAACTGAAGTATTGACAGTCTTTCCTTTTCCCTATTTTTATTAGAAATAAAGCTTTCTAAGTTATATTCGTTTTTATTTTGTTTAAACTTTAAACTGAAGGGCCAGAGAGAGAGAGAGTACAGGGGTTAAGACACAAAGGACCTGGACTCAGTAACTGTCCCCTCCTGTGGTCCAGCTCCTCCAGGAGTGAGTCGAATTACTTTTGCGAAGAGGCCAATTGTGTTGCTTTCCTCCCATGTCAGTATACCAGGTGTTCGAAAGTGTGGCCAAGAAGTATGATGTGATGAATGACATGATGAGTCTCGGCATCCATCGAGTTTGGAAGGATTTGCTGCTGTGGCGGATGCACCCACTTCCTGGGACCCAGTTGCTGGACGTTGCTGGTGGCACAGGTAATGTCCAGTTCCCACCCTGAGTGTCGCCGTGCACCTTCTGTGGAAACGAGCATCTCTTGGGCCAGAGCGATAGTACAGCAGGTAAGGCGCTTGCCTTGTACGCGTCTGACCTGGTTGGATCCCCAGAATCCTGTATGTTCCCCCAAGCACCGCCAGGAGTGATTCCTGAGTGCAGAGCCAGGAGGAACCCCTGAACATTCCTGGGTGTGTCCCCAAAACAAAAACAAAATTTTTTTAAAAAATCAACATGTTTCAGGGCTGGAGCAATAGGACAGCAGGTAAAACGTTTGACTTGCACGTGGCTGACCCGGGTTTGACCCTGGCATCCCATATGGTTACCCGAGCACCGCCAGGAGTAATTCCTGAGTGCAGAGCCAGGAGGAACCCCTGTATATCGCCAGGTGTGATCCAAAAAGAAAAAAAAAAGAAAAAATCAACATATTTCTAAGAAAGCTTTAGTGTTTTTTGGGGGGGAGAGGGGGGTCATAAAATAGGGGTTTTTTTGCTTTTTGGGTCATACCCGGCGATGCACAGGGATTTCTCCTGGCTCGTGCACTCAGGAATTATTCCTGGTGGTGTTCGGGGGACCATATGGGATGCTGGAAATCAAACCCGGGTTGGCCACATGCAAGGCAAATGCCCTACCCACTGTGCCATTGCTCCAGCCCCGTAAAATAGTTTTATTTAGGAAGTAAGAAAGACAGGGAGAGAAGAGAGTGCCTCAGGGAGTCAGGAAAGGAATGACATACTCCCAAGCTGGGATGCAGGCAGCTCCACAGTGGGATGTGCCAACTGTGTATAATTTTTCTTTTTAATTGGATATCAGACGAAAGCACAGAGTATCAGGCTGGGGATATAACTCAGGAGCAGAGCTCATGCTGCTGGTGTGTAAGGAAAGGCATGGTTCAGGACCTGGCACCACAAGACAAAAAGCACACCAGGGGTCTGGAGCAATAGTACAGCAGATAAAGCATTAGCTTTGTATGCAGCCGACCGAGGTTCTACCCCAATATCCCAATAGCACTCCCAGGGGTGATTCTTGAAAGGCAGAGTCAGAAGTAACCCCTGAGCCTCGCCAGGTGTGGTCCCCAAAACAAAACACCCTGCCAGATTATCTACTCTGTTCTCTTTCTCCCTCCCTCTCTCTCATTCTCTCTCTTCCTCCCTCCCCCCCTCTCTCTCCCTCTCTCTCCATCCCCCTCTCTCTCTCCCCCCTCCCCCACCCCCATCACGGTGTTTAGGGACTTTACATTGTTAGATGGGCTAGAGCGATAGCACAGCGGGTAGGGCATTTGCCTTGCAAGTGGCCAACATGGCCAACTCAAGTTCGAGTCCTCCGCCCCTCTTGGAGAGCCCAGCAAGCTACCAAGAGTATCTCGCCCTCACGGTGAAGCCTGGCAAGCTACCTGTGACGTATTTGATATGCCAAACACAGTAACAGTTGTCACATTGGAAACGTTACTGGGCCAGCCTGAGCAAATCAATGAACAACGGGAGGACAGTGACAGTGACATTGTTAGATTAGGCTTTTCCTGGTTCATTCTTGAGCATATGCCTCTCTTTCTGTTTTTTTTTTCCTAGGCCCTTGTTCTCTCTTGAACATGTTTTTATTTTTCTTTTCTTTTTGGGTCACACCTGGCGATGCTCAGGGGTTCCTCCTGGCTTTGCACTCAGGAATCACTCCTGGCAGTGCTCAGGGGACCATATGGGATGCTGGGAATCAAACCCGGGTTGACCACGTGGACCGCGTGCAAGGCAAACGCCCTACCCACTGTGCTACCACTCCAATCACTCCAGCCCCTTGAACATGTTTTTGTCCTTCTCTCCTCTTCTCTGCCTTATCCACTCTGGAGAAGCCTGTGTTGTTTCTTGAACACATATTCCTCTCCTCTTCTCACACTTCTCTAAGTTTCTTTTTTTTTGGCTTTTTTGGTCACACCCGGCAATTCTCTGGGGTTACTCCTGGCTCTGCACTCAGAAATTACTCCTGGGGCTGGAGCAATAGCACAGCAGGTAGGGCATCTGCCTTGCATGTGGCCGACCCAGGTCCAATTCCCAGCATCCCATATGGTCCCCCGAGCACTGCCAGGGGTAATCCCTGAGTGCAGAGCCAGGAGTAACCCCTGTGCATCGCTGGGTGTGACCCAAAAGGCAAAAAAAAAAAAAAAAGAAATTATTCCTGGCAGTACTCAGGTATTATTCCTGGGGAACAATATGGGATGCTGGGAATCGAACCCGGGTCAGCCATGTACAAGACAAATGCCCTACCCACTGTACTATCACTCTAGCCCCTCTAAGTAAATTTCCTTTAACGAAGACTAGTTTGCTGCTCTAAAAACTCTTTCAGAAGATTAGCTTAGTACTCTAGATTGCAAAGCAAAATCTGTGAGGAGCTGTAACAAGCAAAACGACTATCCTGGGAAGCTGGAGATAATCTGAGAGGGGTGGAGTAGTTATGAGTTTGATGAGTAAAGGATCCTGTGTAGCAACAGAAGCAGCAGCTAGAAGAGTGGGAAGTGGTGGGGTCGGGAATTATTGTTTGTATCTTTCCCCTGATGTTGCTTTCACAAAATTAGAAAAGATTAGAAGGCAGCGTTCTAAGTGTTTAACATTTGTTATAGCTGTTGGGTGGAGGCAGGAGAGAGATGCTGTTCTATATATATTTAGGCATTGAGTCACTTATAGTGAGAATAGGTTTGTGCGTTACTTATGTAATTTTTTAGAAGGTTGTTTGTTTTTTTTTGGTTTTTTTTGTTTTTTGCTTTTCGGGTCACACCCAGCGATGCTCAGGGGTTACTCCTGGCTCCGCACTCAGGAGTTACTCCTGGTGGTGCTCGGGGAAATCATATGGGATGCTGGGAATCGAACCCAGGTAAGCCGCGTGCAAGGCAAACACCCTACCCGCTGTGCAATCGCTCCAGCCTCTAGAAGTATTTTTTTTTAAAAGACTTTTAGAAAGGGCCGGAGCAATGGGACAGCAGATAAGGTGTTTGCCTTGCACATGGCCAACCCAGTTTGATCCCCAGCAACCGGTATGATCCCCTGAGCACTGCCAGGAGTGATTCCTGAGTGCAGAACCAGGAGGAACCCTGAGCATCACAGGGTATGGCCCCAAACAAACAAAAACCAAAATGAAGACTATTAAAAGACACTTCTGTGGGAGTGAATAGAAACCTCCATGTGTGTCATTTTGGTTTGGTGTTTTGGGCCACACTTGTAGGGCTTGGGGCTTGCTCCTGGCTCTGTTCTCAGGGATTCCTCTTGGCAGACCTGAAGGACCATATGTGGTGCCTGGGATTGAACCCAGGTCAGCTGTGTGCAAGGCAAGCGCCCTCCCCGCCATACGATTGCAGTGGCCCCGTGTCTTCCATTTCCCCCTTTCCTAGCTCCTAGACCTTAGATGTTGCTTCTCATCGTCCCTCTTCCATCCTCCCAACAGGCGATATTGCGTTCCGATTCCTCAGCTACATTCAGGCGCAGCAGCAGAAGAAGCAGAAGCAGCAGTTACGGGCCCAGCAGAACTTGTCCTGGGAAGAAATCGCTCAAAAGTACCAGCAGGAAGAGGACCCCTTGGGCGGTTCCCGGGTGGTGGTGTGTGACATCAATAAGGAGATGCTCAGGATCGGGAAGCAAAGAGCCTGTTCCCGGGGATACAGAGCTGGTAGGTGCCGCCGCCGACTAGAGACGGGCAAAGGTTCCGTGTTGCTCAGCTCATCCAGCACATGAGACTGGCAGAGACTCTTTCCAGCTTTCCAAAACTTAGCTAGCGGCAGTGTTGAAGATCCTTCACGTGCCTGCATCCTGTTGGATGCTGTTCTGTGCGTTATTCGCTGCAACTCAGAGAGCCTGACTTGCGCACAAGGAGAAAACCAAAGAACATAGAAATGCAGCATCTCAAGTATTAGAGTTGATACATGCCACGTCTGCCTTTGGATCTCAGCTCCTGGGCCCTGAGACAGTTGTTTTCAAGCCCCGGCAGGTGCTAGGGGAGCCTGATGCTCTGTTTCTCAGAGGAAGGTGGCCAGGGATCATACCCAGAGCCTCATGTGGGCAGGTGTGAAACTTGGGGGGCCGGAGCAGCAGCAGGAAGGGCATTTGCCTTGCACGTGACCGACCCAGGTTTGATATTCGGCATCGTGTGTGGTCCCCCAAGCACCGCCAGGAGTGATTCCTCAGTGTAGAGTAACTCCTGCGCAATGTCCACGTGTGACCCAAAAAGCCAAAAAAAGTAAAATAAAAAGGAACTTGGCAGACCAGAGCGATAGTACGATAGTTATGGCGTTTGCCTTGCACGCAGCCGGCTGGGTTTGATCCCTGGCGGATATCCCATATGGTCCCCCAAGCCTGCCAGGCTGTCGGGGGTATGCCCTGCCCAAAGCAAAAAAAGTAAATGAAAAATCCTTTCCCCCTCATTTTTCCAATGGAAAATGCCAGTCCTGGCGCGGCCGCACCATGTCTGCTCAGCCCTGGGCACCTCCACACTGCCCTCTTCCAGGCGGGCCACGCTCTGCAGCGGCACCACCACCACGCGCGCCACTGCCTGCCCAGGAGTGTCTGAGGTTATTTTAGCCCCGTTCCTCCTCCCCAGCCTCCGCCCACCCCCAGAAGGAGCTGCCTGAGGGCCAGCAGGCCTCTCGGCCTCCACGATGAACAGCCTTTTGTTAGCTGCCAGTGCTAATCAGGAGGCAGGCGGCCCTCGTGCTCAGAGACAAAGGCACTGTGTGTGCACATGCCCACTGCAGTTCGTGCTTCCTGCGCTCCGGCCGCAGTTCCGAAGAAGGGAGCGCAGAAGCCGAGTGATAGGCGATGCCCTGTATCTGGAGTGTGTCTGCCCAGACTGCCTGGACAAGTCCACCTGCTGCTGGGGAAGGACGTATAGCCTGGCAGCTTGAGCCCTTTGCCCTCCCGCTTCACCACACCCGGTTGATAATGTCTTTACAGCAACAGCAGCAGCAGTAGCAGCAGCGAAAACACAGGCTCTATCCCCAGCACTGCATGGTCCCCCGAGCACGCCAGGGTTGGGGTTATGGCTCAGGCAAACAGCACAGGCCTTGCTTGTTTGTGTGGGTCACTCATGGCTTCGTTCCCCGGGCCCACAAAAATCAAAGGGAACTCGGCCTTCTCAGCTCATTAGACCTTGTTGCCAGTAGCCTAGACGCTGCCAAACAGTTGTAAGGATCACAGGGTCGGAGCAATGGTCCAGTGGGTAAAGCATTTGCCTTGCATGCAGCCGACCCGGATTTGATCCTCGGCACTTCCATCAGGAGTGATTCCTGAGTGCAGAGCCAGGAGTTGGCCCTGAGTGTTGGCAGCTGTGGCCCCCAAAAAATACAAACTAAAGAATCACAGTCATTTTTACAGGTCTCGTCCATTATCCTCTCCCCCAAAGAGAGGCTTCCCAGACAGGAACCCGACAATCTTTTTCACACCCTCCTCCTTCCTTCCGTCGTCGCCCTGACTCGGGCTTGCTCACTACCCGGCTGTGGGGGCTGCCCATCGGGTTCTGACATCTGCCCGCTTGGATCCAGGGCTCCCAGAGTTGGCGCTCCTGGCTGTGGTGTACTTGCCGGGGTCACGCTCTTCAAGCACAAGTGCTGGTTTTGATGTGAGGATGGGGGTTTGCAGCGGGGCCTGACACGCATGCTCAGCAGACACACTTCTTGGCCGAGATGCTCTCACCCTTTTGTTTCTTGAACCACACCTGCCTGTGCTCAGGGCTTACTCCTGACTCAGTGCTCAAGGATCACTCCTGGCAGAGCTCCAGGGACCATTTGTGGTGTGGGGGAGTGAAGCCCAGTCAGCCATGGACAAGGAAAGCAGCTGACGCATTGTCCTATCTCTCTCTCCAGGCCTTCTCATGGCCTTTTGATTGCTCATGGGGTGGCAGGGAGTGGGGGGGGGGCCCCTTTTTTGTGGCTTCTGGGTGGCTGGAAGCTGCTTGTGGCCCTGACAGTCACAGACAGAGGCATTATCTACCCGGAACAAACAACAGCTCTCGCTGCAGGCAAGGGCTTCCTCCTGGCTCTGTTCTCAGAGATCACTCCTGGTGGTGCTCCAGGGACCTAATGTAGTGCCAGGGATTGAATCAGAGTTGGCTGCGTGCAGGGCAAGCATACCACCTGCGGTGCCATTGCTCCAGCCCCAGGGCAGGAACTGGAACAAAAGAATTTTTTTTTTTTTTTTTTGCTTTTTGGGTCACACCCAGTGATGCACAGGGGATGCTATACTCCTGGCTCTGCACTCAGGAATTACTCCTGGCGGTGCTGGGGGACCATATGGGATGCTGGGAATTGAACCTGGGTCAGCTGCATGCAAGGCAAATGCCCTATCTGCTGTGCTGTCAGTCCAGCCCCCAAAAGAAATTATTTGAGGGCCAAAATCAGTATTGTATCATGAGATTTTTTAGTGTCCTTTAAAATTATGGGGGGAAGAAAGTGAATACAGCAGGTAAGATGCTTGTTTGCCTTATTGTGTCTGACCTGAGGTTCAATCCCTGGCACCCCAGATGGTCCCCCAAATACTCTAGGAGTGATCTCTAGGGACAGAGCCGTGAGTAAGCCCTAAGCACAGCTGAGTGTGGCTAAAAAAAAAAAAACAGAAAAATAAATAAAGGGAGCTAGGCTATGACTTGGGCTGGAGCGATAGCCCAGCGATTAGGGCTTTTGCCTTGCACGGAGCCAACATGGCCAACCCGAGTTCGATACGTCTGCCCCTCTCGGAGAGCCCGGCAAGCTACCGAGAGTATCTCGCCCGCACGGCAGAGTCTGGCAAGCTCCCCATGACGTATTCGGTATGCCAAACACAGTAACAACAAAGTCTCACGATGGAGATGTTACTGGGCCTGCTCGAGCAAATGGATGAACAACGGGAGGACAGTGACAGTGACAGGCTGTGACTTGGTGGTGAGACCCTAGGTTCAATCCCCAACACAGAAAAAGAGAGAAGGGTGAAAAGTAAATATATATGTATGTATGTATAGCAAGGGAGTACTGAGTATTGAACTGTAGGCTTCATACATGCAAGGCAGGTGCTTTCCTGCTGCGCTGCTCCGTAGCCTCAGACACTACTACATTTTTTGTTGTTTTTGTTGGGGTCAAACCCCCGTGTGCCCACGTGCTCAGGGATCACTCCTAGCCGGGCTCAGTGGACCATATGGGATGCTGGGCTCGAAGCTGGGTTGGCGGCTGGGAAGGCAAACGCCCTCCCCGCTGATCGACCACCCCGGCTTCCAGATGCTGCTTCTAATATAATGTGCACGGGAGGATTTGCCCAGCACCAAATCTGCCATTCTCACCAACCAGGTGTTCAGACAGTCTGTCAGTTCTGACACTGACTGTTCAGTATTTGCATCAAATTCAACAGATGCCCGAGCTTAAGCCCATAGGCGTGCCCCTACTTCCGAAGTCAGCCACAAGTAGGGGTCTTGGTGTTCCACGCTTCTGCCTTCCTGGGAGCTCGTAACCCAACCCTCACGTTCAACAGCTGGCCAGGCTCCCCGTTGGAGGCCACAGCTGGTTTTCTCTCCCAGGGCTTGCGTGGGTCGTAGGCGATGCCGAAGAGCTGCCCTTTGATGATGACAAGTTTGACATTTACACCATCGCCTTTGGAATCCGGAACGTCACACACATTGATCAGGTAGGAGTGACTGCAGCCCCAGCCCAGGTGACTCTCGGGGACAGCTCCACAGCACATGGAAAAGGAGCCATTCTTCCCTGGTCTGGCTCCCGAACACAACAGTCACAGACTAATGCCGTGGACTAGTGGATGCAGTGCCCCAGGCTGTAATAGCCCTGGCCACTGAATTCAAAACAGGCCAAAAATCAAGGGCCAGAGAGAGAGTCCAGGGGTTAAGGTGCATAGCCTGGCATGCAGCTGGTGCCAGTTTCTTCTCTGGCACCATGTGGTCCCCCAGATGGCCAGGAGCAGCAGTAGAGGCCCCAAGGACTGCTAGGGTGACTGGGATAATCCAGCATCGCATCCTTGGGCCCTTGCATTGAACCCTGACCCAGTAAGAGGGGCCCCCAGGCCCCAGGAATATTACTCAGGAGGTTCCTCTGAAAGAAAGAAAGAAAGAAAGAAAGAAAGAAAGAAAGAAAGAAAGAAAGAAGGAAAGAAGGAAAGAAAGAAAGAAGGAAAGGAAAAGGAAAAGGAAAGAAGGAGCCTTTGTGACCCGGGCTGTTATTTCCGTCTTTGAGACTGTGTTTCTCTGGCTAGACTTACCAGTCTTGCTCTTTTTTTTTGGGGGGGGGGTGGCTCTTTGTTCAAAAATCAGTTCAGGTGTTGCTCAGGGGGACCAACTATATGTGGTTCCTGGGAGTAAACCTGGTTTGGTTACATTCAAGGGACGCACCGTACCTGCTGTCCTGTATGGGCCCACCTCCTCCTCCTCTATTATTTTCTCTCTTCTTCCTTCCTTTCATATTAGATGATTAGATTCCATTTGCATATATTTACACAATAAAACTTATTCCAGACTCATTGATGATTCAGATGCTTCTAATCCTGTGCTGTTCAGGTAGTGCCACAGTTAATAACCTATCCACATCATTTCCGCCATAGACATATTCGGTAACTTAGATTCCTGGAAGTAAGCAGCCAGATCAGAGGCTGCGCAATGTAGTTTTGATGAGTGATTCTGTGTGTTGTTGTGCCAGAGCACTAGAGGTGACTCTTGAGTACAGACAGTGCCAGGAAAGGTCCTGATGACTGGGGGGTATAGCCCAAAACCCCACCCCTCAAAATAAGAATCCCAAGTCTCCTTCTCTTCATAGTCAGAATACCTGGAAAGTTTACGATATTTTGAGATTATCTTTGCTGTTATAGCTCACCAACTGAGAATGAAAAAAGTGTCTGTGAGAAATGACTTGATGCTTACAGAAGTTAGCGCTGTCCTGCCCACTGAGCTTGAGTAAGGTCTGCTAAGCAGGGGCGAGAGAGATAGTACAGTGGTTAGCGTGCTTGCCTTGCACGCTGCCAACCCGGTTTTGATCCTCACCCGATATGTTCCCATGATCCCTGAGTACCGACAGATGTGTCCCCCCAGCCCCCAAAGGGAAAAGATCAGCTAAGAGTGCGCTCTGCTCTGTTTCTCAGGCTCTCCAGGAGGCCCACCGAGTCCTGAAGCCAGGAGGACGGTTCCTGTGTCTGGAGTTCAGCCAAGTGAACAATCCCCTCGTCTCTAGGTCGGTGCTGTGACCACCAGGGCTTTATTCTCATCGTCTAGTCAAAGATTTTCTGTTTGAAACTGGTAGAGGATGTGGCTCAGGGAGGTAGCTCAGCGGTAGCGCACTTGCCCTGCCATCCGTTCAATCCCCGGCACCTCAAAAGGGGGGTGTGTGTTGGGAGGGGTTAGAAATAGAAATAGCTGGTAAACTAATCGCGAGCTTTGTAGTTCGGAGTTTCAGGCTCTGACGCAGAGGCCAACCAGTTCTAAGTGACATCTAAGCTAGAAGAGTCTCAAAGCAGTAGCTAAAGGCTCGGTGTTTTGGGTCTTGTCTTTGGAGAGTGGGGGAAGGGAGTGAAGGGGTGTGAGGCTTGAGCCACGCAGAGCTATGCCCAGAGGACTTTGTGGTGCTAGAACTTAAACCTGGGGCCTCCTACATTCAAAGTATGTGCTGCTGCTTATTATTTCTCCAGTCCTCGCTTTCTTATTTGGTTTGGGGGTCACACCTGGCTACCTTCCTGGGTTACTCCTTGCTCTGCACTCAGAAATTACTCCTGGCAGTGCTCAGGAGACCATATGGGATGCCAGGATTCAAATCCAGGTTGGCCACATGCAAGGCAAGCTGCTTACATGCTTACATGTTTTACTATGGCCCCACCCTTTTTTTTTTTTTTTGCTTGTTGGGTCACTCCCAGTGATACTCAGGGGACCATATGGGATGCCAAGAATTGAACCTGGGTCGGCCTCGTGCAAGGCAGACACCCTCCCTGCTGTGCTATCACTCCAGCCTCCGGTCTTGCTTTTTATCAGGGGGCGATGAGGAATGTGTTCTAATGTTAACCTTTTGCCTCTCTGTTTAGGCTCTATGATCTGTACAGTTTCCAGGTCATTCCTGTCCTGGGAGAAGTCATCGCAGGAGACTGGAAGTCCTACCAATACCTTGTAGAAAGTATCCGGCAGTTCCCGTCTCAGGTATAAAACCACCTGTGACTCAGAACAAAGCTCCTAAAGTTGAAACCTCACGTGACCCTTGCTGTCCCTTTCTTTGCATTGTAGGAGGAGTTCAAGGAAATGATAGAAGATGCCGGTTTTCAGAAGGTGACTTACGAAAGTCTCACGTCAGGCATCGTGGCCATTCATTCTGGCTTCAAACTGTGACTCCTTTTCGTTCTGAAGCACGAGACACTCATGTCCTGTCAGAGTCCTGAATGAAGGTGACCCTCAGCAGAACATCTCCTCTCCTCTTTGGGATTTGTGGACACCTGTTCTGAAATGACCAGTCTCAAAGTGGGGGACGGGGCCGGAGCGGTTGACACAGCAGGGAGGGCACATGCCTTGCACGTGGATGACCTGGGTCTGATCCTCAGCATCCCATCTGGTCCTCCAAGCACCGCAGGAGTGATTCCTGAGTGCAGAGCCAGGAGTAATCCCTGAGCAATGCCAAGTGTGACCCAAAAGTAAAAAAGGAAGTGGAAGAAGCACACTCGGGTCACTTGGCTGCAGCTGGTATCAGCAGCTGCCTTTAAGCCTTCACCCACCGTCTCAGGTGTCTGTTTTTTGCTTTCCTTCTCATTTTTCTTGGCTGCCTAGTGTTTGGATAAGGTCAAACCACCACTAGCTCTTCATCTATTGGTATCATATTTAAGTTCTGGTGCTGCCTTCCGGCATCATTCTAACTCATCGAAGATTTGAACAAAAAATATGACCTGTCACTGAGTCAATCTTGCAGCCTGGGACGGTTTGTTAAGCCAAGACCCAGTTCACAGGGCTAACGCAAGAATTACGCCCTGGCCCACTACCTGAGCCTACAGCGTGCCTGGTGTTTGTCATTTTCTTCTTGGAGGTGAGGGAAATATCTTTTATCTTTTACCCAGTGTCTGTCATGAGAATAACTTGGCCCTTTTGAAAGTACCAGCTAACTCTTGCTTTCTTACTTTATACACCGATTTGCCTTCAGAACACACTTGAAAAAAGGATTTTATAACAAAGTGAAATTTGAATGTTTAGCTCCAGTTCCCAGGGGCAGCGGTGGACAGAGTTCTTATGTTCTTTTGTTTGGGGGTCATAACTGGCTGTGCTCAGGGTACTGTGGGGTGCTGGGGACCGTATCCTAGCTTCCTACATGCAAAGTGCGCTCCCAGCTTGTTTTACTGTTTGGCCCAGCTCTTGTCTTATTTTGGCCTGGGTTCCCTCTTGGCGGTTCCTAGTGGCTTAGTGCTCAAAGCGAGACCCAAGATACGTGGTGCTGCCTTAACCCCTATTCTGTTTTTCTAGCCACTGGCTATTAGATTTTGTTTCAGGGCCACATCTGGTGGTGCCCAAAGCTTACTCCTGACTCTCTGCTCAGGGAGAAGTACCGGCAGGGCTCCAGAGACCAAACAGGGTGCTGGGGATCGGACCTAGGTCAGCCACATGCAAGGCAAGCACCCCACAGGCCCTACTATGGCTTCAGCTCCTGGCTATTGTTTTCTTTAATGCAGCTCACTGACTGACGTTGAAGTCAAGCCATATTTTGAGTGTGTCTGAAGCTTAAGGGTTTCAAGGAACCTTAGTGAGAAACTGCAGAAACCAGTTGAAATTTTTGTTTTGGGGCTATACCCACTGGTGCTCGGCTACCAATCCTGGCATCCAGTTTTCAATTTATAAGTGGGGCTGTAGAAATAGCATGGGGGGGGGGGGGGAGGTGTTAGGTGTTAAGGCTTTTGCCTTACACACAGCTGGCACCCATTTGATCCCTAAGCATCGTACCAGAAGTGATCCCTGAGAACTCTCTTCCCCCTAAAAATGTCTGCCAAGTGCCTTGAAGTGAAGCAAATTGAAGTATGCCTGTTAAAGGCATCCGTTTCCTGGCAGCAGATAATGGCCCTGATCAAATTAGAACTCCTAATGCTGAATTGTGTGCGCTGGGCTCTGGACACTTCAGAAACAGAACCGGCTTTTTGGGTCACACGGGGAGGTGCTTAGGCATTACGGCTGCTGTGGCTCAGGGATAAACAGTGCTGGGATTGAACTTGGGCTTTCCATATGCCAGGCACGCTAACCTTTGACTTATTCCCTGGGCCTGAACAAGATAGGTTGTTTCTGGAGGACACATCTGTCGTGGTACTTGGGAATAGCTCCTGGCTCTGCATTTGGAGATCATTCCAAGTAGGGCTCATTGGACCATGAGGTGCTGAGACCAAAGTCAGGTGGACCACATGCAAGGCAAAGTGCCTTACCCGTTCTCTCCCCCCAGTCCCCTGGCCAAGCGTTTTGGCCAAAATATCTATCGGGGGACTGGAGCAATAGTGCAGCAGGTAGTGCGTTTGCCTTGCAAGCAGCCAACCCAGGTTAGATCACCAGCATCCCATATGGTCCTCGAGCACTGCCAGGAGTAACCCAAGCATCACCGGGTTTGACACCCACCCCCCAAAAAAATCCCATTTACAAAAATTTCTATGCTTCTAATAGACATGGTCAGTATGGAGATTAATTATGACATTTTTTGGAGGCTGAAGCCAGTACAGCTGGTAAGTCACTTGCCATGCATATGCTCAACCCAGAATCAATCCCTGGTATGTCATTCTTATCCCCTCAGTAGTGCCAAGAGTTAAATCCTGAGAGCTGAGCCAGGTGTAACCCAGGATTGATAGCCGAGCACCCCCCCCCCCCCCAAAAGACATTTTTCATCATTCACGAAGCCTGAGTGGCCCCTAGTGCTATCATGGGTTCATTGCCTCATCCTTTCTCAGGCTGAACATGTACCACTTCCTTGGACTCCTGAAACCCTAAGTTCTGGTAAAGAAAAAAATCATTACTACCTCCAAGTACTGACTAGTCTGTAGGGAAGCGCGAAAGCCAAGGTGCCACCATCCTTCCCAAGGCTGCTGACTTCTGCCTATGGCGAATTTCCTTTCGTCTTATAAAACCTGTTTTTTTGTTTATTTGTTTTGTTTTTGCTTTTTGGGTCACACCTGGTGATGCTCAGGGGACCATATGGGATGCTGGGAATCGAACCTGGGTCGGCTGCGTGCAAGGCAAACGCCCTACCCGCGATGCTATCACTGCAACCCCATAAAACCTGTCTTATGAAGTAAATATGGCAAGTCTTCCTAAAATTACAGGAAACCTTTCATCAAAACCAATTGATAGGAACTAACACACACTTCAACAGATTTTTTGAAAGGAATGAACTTTAAGGAGAAAAAACATGGGCAGAGAGGTATGGAATAGAAAATAAATACAAATGTAAGCTGAGTTGCTAATTGTTTTATAACCACAACAAATCAGTACAGAGAAGAGGCCCTGTACAAAACAACACAATAAAGGTTCAGAGATTGAGGTGTTCCCTTAGGCAAGGCTGAAGATTTCAGTCTCTGGTTATTTGGGATTTAGGCTGCAGTCCATGTTTTGGATGGATCACTGGGCGTGGCACAGTTCATGCTCTAACCAGACTTGAACAGCAGAATGGCCACCTGGCCCAGGTAGAAGTAGATGAAGTGTTTGGTTTCGTGCGTCACATAACTACCGAAGTTCCTCCCCACGATGCAGTGCCAGGTGGGATTGTACTTCTTGTCAAACTCCTGGGGGAGAGGGAAGGAAAAAATACTGAAACTTCAATGCTAAACTGCTTTGCCTCCTGAATAAGCAGAGCCCGCAGGGCAAGGAGAACGTCAGTATCTGCAAATTCTTAGGATGATTAAAGAATGTTCCCCAGTTCCAAGGCGCCTACATAGTCCATTGATGCAAACATAGTTGCAGTCCCAGCTAAGATGGAAATGGGGGCTGGGAGACAGGGAGCTTTGTTGTAATGGTAATTTCACCTTCCTAACTTCTGCAATATTCTTGGCAAACGACATCACGACTTTACAGAGCAATTCTATACATTTATCTAAATCTTACGTGTAATTTTTAGAGTTCTCATGTGTGGATAAAACCCCTCAACTATGCTATTGTATATGCTATACAGACTAATCCACCCCAAAACCGAAAGGAAAAATGTACTCGGCCATTATTAACTTCTGTATCATTGAAGACAGACTTCCAAGAGAGGAAGCCTCAATTACCATCTGCAACAAACCACCCTGGATCAAAACTGAAATTTAATGGGATTGAAGCAATTGTACAGCAGATAGGGCATTTTCCTTGCCCATTACCAGGAGTAATTCCTAAGGGCAGAGCTAGGAATAACCCCTGAGCATTTCCAAATATGGCACAAAGACGCCTTAAATTTAAAGGGACAAGGGGCTGGAGCAATAATACAGTGGGTAAGACATTTTTTAATGCCTTACAAGTGTCTGAACCGAATTCGATCCTGGCATCCCATCTGATCCCTGAGCGCAAAGCCAGGAATAAACCCTGATCACTGATGGATGGCCCAAAGAAAACAAAAAGAAAATGATTTTACAAAGGAACAAGACATTTGCACACCACTCTTCCTATTTACTTTTTTAAAAGGTGTTGGAGTGACTGGAAAAATCAAGTAGAGCATTTGCCTTGCACTTAGCTGACCCTGTCAGATCCTTGAGCACAGAACCAGGAATAAGCCTTGGGCACCACCAGGTGTGGCCCAGAAACCAAAAAAAAAAAAAAAAATCACGGCGCTGGAAGGAGGATCCCCTAACCTCCTGATCAAATTTTACTCTTAATTAGAATCTCAACAGCCCTCCTTTCCATATCTGCCAGGAAACCTACAAGGATAGCTCCCTGCATAAGTTAGGTGTTCCCCACTACCCAGGGGGCTGGGGGGGGGGGGAGGCGCCAGGACCCCGCGTGAACATCTTCACTTCGGTGATGGGAGACAGGCGCCAACACTAATCTCCTCCAATTCACGGTGAATCACGCAAAATTTGGCTCCGCAAACTGTCTGCATCATGGAAATTTCTTGGCTCCATTAAGGAGAATTAACATCCTTAGGAGCGAGACCGGAGAAAGCTTTTTGCTGCATTTGCCAAGGGGGGGGTGCGGGGTAAGGGGGGAAAAAGGCATTTATTTCTGTTCCATCCGAAGCTTCATCTCCCCCTCTGGACTGGAACTCACTCCCACCGCTCCGGCTGCCGGCTTCCCTCCCCGAAAACGCATCCCGGGAAGCGGGCACCACCCCCCGACGGGCGGGCTGGCAGGATCTCCCGGCCCCGCTGGAAAACGCCCCCACGGCGCCCCCCGCCCCCGCCGGAACACCCAGATGGAGCCCCGCGCAGGAATCAGGCGCGAGGGGGCCCCGCCGCTCCCCGATCCTGGAGACCGTTGCTAGGTGGCGCTTTTCCCCTCGCGAGCTCGGGAACGGGGGGAAACTTGGCGCGAGGGTCTGGCGCTCCCCCGGAGGGACGCGGACGCGGGTGCGGAACGCAGAGCGCGGAACGCGGAACGCAGAACGCAGAGCGCACGCCCCGCGTTCCTCCGGGCAGCGCGCCCCGCGGGAGGGCCCGGGGTCCGCCGCGCCCCGCCCCGCACCTTCTTGATGTGGGCCGCGATGTCCTTCTCGATGTTGTACTTCTCCAGCGCCTGCGTCGCGCACTCCACCGAGTCCTGTTGCATCTCCTCCGACATGTCCGCGTTCTTGATCACCGCCTTTCGGTCGCACATGGTGCCCTGCGGGAGGCCGGGGCACGGGGGGCGTCGGGGGGCGAGGCCGGGCGCTCTGGGTGCCAACGGGGGCGCCCCCGCCCCGCCCGCCGCTCCGACCCCGACCCCGACCCGGGCGCTGTCCGGCCGCCGCGCGCCACGCACCCGGCAACGCCACGACGCCCCCCGCCCCGACCGCCGTCCACGGACGCCCGCCCGCCCGCCCGCCGCGCGCACCCAACGGCGCGGCAGCTCCCGCGGCGGCGCCCCCGGGCCCTCACCGGGGAGCGGGGGCTGCAACGGTCTCCTGGGGGAGGGGCTGGCGGAGCTCGACGCGGCAGCGACAGCGACGCTCCGAGGCCGTGGCGCATCTAAGGCGCCCCACGCCCGCCGCCGCCGCTTAGAGCCCCGGCCCCGCCCTGCCCCACCGGCCCCGCCCCCCGCCGGCCGCCTTGATTGGCTCGGCGCCGGCCTCGGTGCGCTCCCATTGGCCCAGGCGCTCAATGGTCCCTCAGGAGCTTTCGCCCGCATTCTGTTGCAGCCCACAATGCACCGCTCGCGGCGTCGGTTGCCCCGGCAATGGGCCGCACGCGCTGAGAGCCCCGAACGCCGAAGGTGGAGCCTGGGCGGGGTCGCCAGCCCCCGCGGGGGAGGGGGAGGAAGGAGGGGGGAGGAGGACGAGGAGGAGGAGGAGGAGGAGGAACAGTCGGGGCTGCGGCGGCAGCCAGGGCCCCTGCTCTGGACAGAGCCCAGGGAAGGTTCCAGACTGCCCCCCCAGGAGGTATTCTGGAAATCAGGACAGTCTCGGAAAAGTTGGGTGCGCAGCGCCCCTGCCTACTCCCCTCCCTCCACCTCCACCCCGGGTCAGAGTCTGTGCCAGGTGACCTAAGTCGGCACTCAAAGCTCTCAAGGATGGGCAGCTGGCATGGACTTGCGCACGAGCGAGACCCCAGGTGCTGAGGGCTCGGTTTCATGCTCGGCTGCCTCATTCTTCCACGGTCTACTAATTAAAAAAAAAAAAAAAGGGAGGGTTGGGGTCACACTCCCAGCTGTGCTTAGTCAGGGCTTCCTCCTGGCTCCGTGCTCAGAGATCACTCTTGGCGTGCTCGAGGGACCCTAGGCGGTGCTGGGGATTGAACCTGGGTCAGCATATGCAAGGCAGGCCCAGGACCCACAGTACCTCTCCAGCTCCTTAAGCTTGTATTTTTTTTCATTTCAGTGAGTGATCCCCATACTTTTATTCTGTGTTGGCCCCTACAAATTACACGCGGGTGGGGAGGGAGGGAATGGTCCTCGGAAATGCTAAAGGATGTCCTTATGAATCAAAGGGTTTGGTGCTAATTCAATCAGCCCAATCAATGGCTGAATAAATAGCAATACTCCTGCATTGAAAGAAAGAAAGAAGAAAGAAAGAAAGAAAGAAAGAAAGAAAGAAAGAAAGAAAGAAAGAAAGAAAGAGAAAGAAAGAAAGGGTTTGGGGCCCCAAAGTGGGGTCTCGCTCTGGGCAGCGAAGAGGTGGACCTTGTGGGTGCAGTGGGAAGTGCAGGTCCCGGGTGGGTGGGGCCTCTCTCAGCTCAGGCCGTCTTTCCAGTGTGGGAGCTTCTTGGGGATTTATCTCCAGGGCGAGGCGCCCTACTGAACTGAGACACGTCCCTTACAGGTATTTCTTCTGATTTAGGGAGACTGATCTCTGAGTGGAAGAAAGGGGGAGCGGAGCCTTTCGGTTAACAGGATCCGTTCTGGATTCAAGTCCTAGGGCTGTCTGCTAGCTGGGAACCTCAGTGTTCTTACTTGTAAGGGGTGGATGAGAGGTGGTCAGTGAACGAACCTCCTTCTCAGGCACATTAGGAAGCGCTTTACTTCTCAGCACAAAAGGAGGGACACATAAGTGCTGAAAGAATTTTTGTCTGTTTTTTCTGTTTGGGGGCCACACCCTGTGGTCTTAGGGTTTACTCCTGGCTCTGCAGTCAGGGATTTCTCTGGACAAGGCTGGGGGGACCATCTAGAGTGCCTGGGTTGGCTCTATGCAAGCCAACATCCTACCTGCTGTTCCATCTCTCCAGTCCCTGCTGAAAGAATCCATATCATTTTTTGATTTTTTTTTTCTGCTTTTTGAGTCACACCCAGCAATGCTCAGGGATTACTCCTGGCTCTGCACTCAGGAATCACTCCTGGAAATGCTCAGGGAACCATATGGGATGCTGGGAATCGAACCCTTGTCGGCTGCGTGCAAGGCAAACGCCTTACCCGCTGTGCTATCACTCCAGCCCCGATCACTATTTGATCTTGAGGCCACTCCTGGCTCTGTGCTCAGGGGTCACTGCTAATGGGATTCGAGGGAGCTTATGGGTTTACAGGGATGGAATCTGGGTCGGGTACATGCAAGGCAAGAGCCTTAATTCTCTGAACTCCTCTGTTGCCCCTTCCCACAATCTATCAGAAACTGTCAGTTTATGGAACTATCCAAAGCTTCATAGGCTGATTTTGAAAAACCAAATTTAAGCCCATAATGTGTTGCTTAACTTACATAGATATTTTATTGGGAAAACCTTTTATTATTTTTTTATTTGGTTTGGGGGCTGGAGCGATAGCACAGCGGGTAGGGCGTTCGCCTTACACGCGGCCAACGTGGCCGACCTGAGTTCGATTCCTCCGCCCCTCTCGGAGAGCCCGGCAAGCTACCGAGAGTATCCGATATGCCAGACACAGTAACAACAAAGTCTCCAATGGAGACGTTACTGGGCCCGCTCGAGCAAATCGACGATCAACGGGAGGGCCTTTACCTTTACCTTTACCTTGGGGGCTACCACCAGCTGTGCTCAGGACTTACTCCTGGCTTTGTTCTCAGGGGCCACTACTGGCTGTGCTCAGTGGATTGGAGCCCCAGGCCGACCTCATCCAGGCCCTTCCTACTGTACTATCACTCCAACTCTAGAAGGAAAGCCTTTTATTTATCTTTTTATTTTATTTTTTTGGTTTTTGGGTCACACCCGGTGATGCACAGGGGTTACTCCTGGTTCATGCACTCAGGAATTACTCCTGGCGGTGCTCGGGGGACCATAGAGGATCTGGGAATTGAACCTGGGTCGGCCGCATGCAAGGCAAACGCCCTACCCGCTGTGCTATTGCTCCAGCCCCATCTCCTGAGGGGGCTTTTAAACAAATATCCCAGCAGACACAACTGGGGGGCTAATACTGAGCTGTGCTCCATTTTCTAAGATCTCCCCCCAGATAAGTGCCATTATTATTATTATTTTATTATTTGTTATTATATATTTTATTATTATTTATTCTGGGGGGAGAGGGGTTTGGGGTCACACCTGGCCTTACCGGTGGGGATGGGAACCCATGACTAAGACACGGATCTTGGTCCCTGCGTTGCAAACCAGACACCAGCCACTGCTGTTGCCCTTTTTTCTTAGCGAAAACTTTAGCCAAGCTCCAGTTAGAGGAGGCCCATCTCGGGTTTGGGCCTCGGAGTTGAAGTGAGCTCCAGAGCCCAAATCCAGGAGCTGCAGTGGTGCGGGCTGGTGAGCACGGCCAGCCTCAGCAGGTGACCAGCACGGGGCTGCAGGCAAGTGGGGGCTATTGTGGGGGGCAACACTCGGCGGAGGGCAAGGTGTTGACGTTTACTCAGGCAAAGCCCACGCCTGGTTATTAATTTTTAATCAGGGGCCTGGAAAGAGCTTAATGGGTTGAACACATGCTTTAGCACTGGACCAGACTGTGGGCGCCTCAGGCAACTTCCTCAGGGTGTAAAGGATGACCCTCTACACAAACATGCAAACCAAAATCAGACCATGTTCACTTTCTTTCATCTCCACATTGTTTTTATTGACTTTACTCTCTCGTTAACCTAGAGACCCTTACAGTTTGACCAGACAGAGGCATAGAACTCCAAAAAGGAAAAGGTGGGCAATACAACATAGTGTGTCTTGTCAATTAAATTAAATTGAGATATTTCCCTACTTCGGGTTTTGATTATAGGCCTGAGGGGGTACAATAGATCTCTACAGTACTACTCCTGAGGAAGTTGAGTTGGCAGCAGAATTCCTATTGGAACTGGGGTTGGTGCTTCTGCTTGGGCATAAGATTCTGAGCAGTGGAATCTACAGATGATTCTAAAATCTAAACCTCTCTTGAAGACTTTTACTTGTTGTTTTTGTTTTGAGATCACACCCAGTGATGCTAAGGGCTTTCTCCTGGCTCTGCACAGAGGAATTACTCCTGGTGGTGCTTGGGGGACCATATGGGATGCCGGGAATCAAACCTGGGTCGGCCACGTGCAAGGCAAGTGCCTACCCACTGTACTATCGCTCCAGCCCCTCAGGCTCTGCAGAACTTTTACCTGCAGAATATAAACCTATATTTTATTTTATTATTTTTTTTCTTAATCTCTTGTTGACCTGCCTCTGACCTACGGCTTGGCCGGCTTCTTCTCATTTGAACAGACAGTTGAAAGTATCTGATTATTTCAGCAGTTGCAATACTACCAAGTGCTTTGCATTCACCGATCAACACAACAGAATCTGGGACCTGTCCCCCTCTCCCTCTTGGCTTTCTCTTTTCAATTTCAGCTCCCCTTCTCTATATACCCTCTCCCACACCACCCTACAGTTATTGTCTACATTTCTTTCTTTCATTGTACTTACCTCATTTATTCTCCAGAGGAAGTAGCTTGTGTATTTATTTTCTTGATTATTGTCTCTGTCTTTGCCTGTTTTGTTCACTGCTGTGTCTTCAGCATCTAATTCAGGGTCTGCCGTGTAGTATGTATTTAATTAAATATGCATTAAGTTGGGGCGAGAGAGAGAGAGAGAGAGAGAGAGAGAGAGTAAGAGTATAGTGGGTAGGGGTAGTGCCTTGAATGTGACCAACCCAGTTCAATTTTCTGCATCCCATATGTTCCCCCAAGCACAAGCACCGTCAGGAGTAATTCCCGCTTGTAGAGCCAGGATCAACCCCTGACCATCGCCAGGTGTGACCCCCAAAACAATACAAAATAAAACAAAATAAATATGCACTAAATTATAAGGTCGTGGGGCTAGGAGATAGTTCATAGGCTTGAGTGCATGCTTTCATACAGGGGGCCCAATTTCAGTTCCTGGCAACTGCAAGGTATAAGCCGAAAAAAAAAAAGCCAAAAAAACAAAAACTAGTCTTATATCCCGATTATACAGATTAAGAAATTAACATTCATGATTCTGAATGATCCTACAGTTTTCACTCAGCTTCATTATCTTAATAAAGTGAGCTGAGTAGATAGTGTGCCTTTTTTCTTACAACACTGAGGGGGGGAAAAAGAGCTTTTAAATGAGATGTTAAGATTTTGTAACAAAATAGAATTTGGTTTCATAAAAACA